AAAAGCTTCGAAACTTACCATTTTGGAAATGGGAGAACGAAAAGGGGAAGGGGAAAAAGGGATAATGAAAGAGGAGAAGGGGAGAACGAAAACGAAAAGGGGAAGGGGATAACGAAAGAGAAGGAGAAGGGAGAACGAAAAGGGGAAGGGGAGAACGAAAAGGAAAAGGCGAAAAAAAAAAATTAAGCTTTGCTAAAAAAAGCTTAATTTTTTTTTTTTCGCTATACCGCAGCACCACAGCAGGCGCAGCGGTAATTACTAATTTAAATCACGTGATACACGTGATACGTAAATTTATATAAATAGGGCTTTCCCCGAACTTTGAAACTTTTCTTTTATAATTTTTAATAGATGTATATATGTGCTTATATATACATATATATATATCTATTAACTTTAATACTTTACGAAAAGCCCCTTCTCTATAAATAGGTAGAGGTCATAAAGTACCTATAGGGGGAGAGCTATTGCTGCTCCCTCCGCCTGTTTTATAGTGATAAAAAGAGGGAGTCTTCAGTAGTAAGGTTTGATGTGTATTTGTACACATTAATTATTAATATTGAACAACACAATAAACTACACCTAGTATTAAAAAATATGTATAATGTTAAAAAATACTAATAAAAATGAGTGTTTTTCTATACTAAATTGCAGTATAACAAACTTTGTATTTATATGTACTGCTTAATACCATTTAATATATGTTAAACTAAATTCTATGTTGAAAAATATGTATACTGTTAATAAATGGCAATAACAACTAGTGTATTTTTATATTAAATTTTAATATTGCAACATTTTGTGTTTATTTACATTAATTAATGGCATTAAACTATATTGTATATCATATTAAACTATACTTAACATCAAACAACATAAAAAAACTTGTATAATTATACGTATATAACAGCATTCAGTATTAATCATTACAGTATACAGTATTAAACAATAGGATATATCATATTAAACAACCCCTTAATGTTAATTAACACTATAATTATGTAAAGCAACACTTTTAAAACTTGCTGATGTGTTAATTAACATTAAGGAGTTGTTTAATACGATATATCCTATTGTTTAATACTGTATACTGTAATGATTAACACTAAATGCTGTTATATACGTATAATTTTACAAGTTTTTTTATGTTGTTTGATAACAAGTATAATTCAATATGATATGCAATGTAGTTTAATGCCATCAATCAATGTAAACAAACACAAAATGTTGTTTTATTAAAATTTAGTATAAAAATACACTAGCTGTTATTTCTATTTATTAATACTATACATATTTTTCAACACATAATATTGATAGTTTAACATATTGTTAAATGCCAATAAACAATGTATATAAATATGAAATTTGTTAACTGCAATTTAGTATGGAAATACACTCATTTTTATTAGTGTTTTTTAATATTATACATATTTTTTAATATTAGGTGTAATTTAATATGTATATTGTATTGTTTAATATTAATAATTAATGTGTATAAATACATATTAAACCTTATTACTGAAGACTCCTCTTTTTATCACTATAAAACAGGCGGAAGGAGCAGCAATAGCTCTCCCCCTATAGGTACTTTATGACCTCTACCTGTTTATAGAAAAGGTGGTATTAAAGTTAATAGATATATATATATGTATATATAAGCACATATATACATCTATTAAAAATTAAAATTATAAAAAAAAAATTTTAAAGTTCGAGGAAAACCCTATTTATATATTTTTATATATTCCGTATATCACGTGATACTTAACCGCAGCTTCAGCTGCTTTTGTTGCAGTATAGAGAAAAAAAATTAAGCTTTTTATAGCAAAGCTTATTTTTTTTTCTCTTTCACGGCTTTTCTTTCCCCTTCCTTCACCCTTTCCCTTCTCCTTTTGTTCTCCCATTTTCCTTTTGTTTATTTATTTAAAAAATTCATTAAAAAAAATAATTCTTAATTATTATATACTATTATTTTATTTATTATGTTTTATTTAATTTTTTTATTTAATTCCCTTTTCGTTTTCCTATTTCGTTTCTCCTTTCCCATTCTTTTTCACTCTCCCCTTTTCCAAATGGTAAGTTTTGAAGTGAAAGTTTCAACACTTTTTTTTAAAAAATTTTTTTTTTAATTAAGAAACATTACTAACATTTTTTTTTATATAGGACTAGGATTCACCTGTTAACTACGTTAACAGTTAATATTTAAAACTTAAAAACATATATAAAGTAAAATTTTAATTATATATATATAATACCTGCGCCTTGCCATTTTAGTTTCACATACAGGTGGTTCTTGTTTTTGCGCTCCTTTATTCTCTTTTTTCGTTCTTTAACTTCGTTTTAACTTTTTTTTTCTCTTAGGTCCAAGCACTTCGGCATTTTGACTCTTCAGTTTTCGGCTCTTTGGTTCTAAGGTGCATCTTTTTTTCATTTTTTTTTGTTCGTTCTGACTATTCTTTCCTCCCAGACATGACGCACTTCAATAACAGATGGTTCAAATGCAAGTACATAAGGATAACGGGGAACTATAATGTAAAAAATTTCCAATTAATATAACTCATTTAACATCTCAAAAAAAGTAAGAAAAGCAAAATTATATAGTTTACCAAGGGATTTTATTTTTGTTTTTTATGTTTTGCTCAATAGGTCCCAGCTCTTCGGGCTTGATATTTCGGTTTCAAGGTTCCAAGGTACTTTTTTTCATTTTTTTTTTCTCTTTTTGTCTTTTTTTTCGTTCGTTATATTGTTCTAACTCTTCTTTCCTCTTAGATTCCAGCTCTTCGGCATTTCGGCTCTTTGTTCTATCGTTCTAACTCTTCTTTCCTTTTAGGTCCTGGCTCTTTGGCAACTTCGGTGCTTTAACATTTCGGTTCCGTTCTTTTTTTGTTCTTTAACTTTGTGCTAATTTCATTTCCTCGATAGGACCTGGTTCTTCGGCAATTTCGGCGCTTTGGTATTTCGGTTCCATATAGATGGGTTCTTTTTTTCGTTCCTTTGTTCTCTTTTTTTCTTTCTTTAACTTTGTTCTACATAACTTTTTTTTTTTTTGCTTCTTTCTTTTTTGCTTTTTTTTTAATTACGGTAATCGCGTATGAAGCGTGCCTATCATGTAAAAAATCAAGATTTATACTTTGCATTACACACTGCAGTTACACAATTGTAAATTGTTATTTATGTGGTTAGTTTAAACGTAACGCCCACGTGATTGCAGTATTTTTAAATATTAGATTTTGGCTCGATTTCAGTTCAGAATATTGAAAATGGTAAATTTCGATTCGCTTTGAAACTTAAAAATTATTTTTTTTTTTAGTTTAGGAAACTAATGTTTCCTATAATTTTTTTTTTAGAACTCAGCAGTATTTGATTTGAAAACTGAAATGGTAAGTTTTGAGGTGTTTACCTCAAAACTTTTAATTATTTTTTTTTTAATTTTTAGAAATGTTTCTAACGTTTCCTATATCTATTTTTTTAGGACTTTTGGCATTTTCAACTTGTGAAATGAAAGGGTAAGTTTCGAGAGCGTTCACCTCGAAACATTTTTAAAATTTTTTTAATTTTTTTTAGGAAATTAAAGCTCTGAACGGTTCCGATTTGAACCGGGAACCGATCTGGAACTGGAAAAAAATTCGGTTCAGTTCTCAGTTCGGTTTTGGACTTGGAACCGTCCGGTTTGGTTCGGTTCTATCTGAAATTAAGAAAAAATGCGAAAAAATGAATACACAACCATCCAGTGATCGTACAAGGACGAGCCATAGCTCGTTGGAATCATCTCATCGAGACGCGTCGAATGGTGGTAAAATCAAGTCTTTAGCATTAAGAAATTTGCATTAGAAAACGATCCATTGATGCTAGAGACATGAATTTACCACCATTCAACGCATCTCGACGAGACGAATCTAATGAGCTATAATTCGTCTTTTTACAATCACTGGATGGTTGTGTATTCGTTTTTTCGCATTTTTTTTAAATTTTCGAACGTCAAAAATTAAAATTCCGATACAAGCGATTAAACGCCATCTATTGATCACACAAAGACGAATTTTAGCTCATTGGATTCGTCTTTGTGTGATCAATAGATGGCGTTTAATCGCTTGTATCGGAATTTTAATTTTTGACGTTCGAAAATTTAAAAAAAATGCGAAAAAACGAATACACGACCATCCAGTAATTGCAAAAAGACGAATTATAGCTCATTAGATTCGTCTCGTTGAGATGCGTCGAATGGTGGTAAATTCATGTCTCTAGCATCAATGGATCGTTTTCTAATACAAATTTTTTAAGAAACACTCACCATGTTCTATCTCGTGATCTATCGATGCTAGAGACTTGATTTTACCACCATTCGACGCGTCTCGATGAGAGGATTCCAACGAGCTATGGCTCGTCCTTGTACGATCACTGGATGGTCATGTATTCATTTTTTCGCATTTTTCTTAATTTCGGATAGAACTAGAGGTGCAGCCTTATCCCTCCCCATGGGTTATAACATTGTGTCATGTGTCATATGACATGCGTCTGGATAACGCATGTTACAACTCGTGACGTTTGACATAATGCTATCTAATGCCGTAATTAATGACATTTGACGCAAAGTGTGACGTATGACGCATTGTATTTGACGTAACTTGATAATAAATTGTATCTTATCTCTGCGAAAAATACTTTTTTATTAAAAAATTTTTTAAATGCATGCTTGTGGAGTACAATGCGTTATGCTGATTCTATTTTTATAATAAATCATAATAAATTTGATAAACGTGAAATTTACTTCTTTCTTTTGTTTTACGTGTCACGACCTACAACTTATTATGACAGAAACAGTTAGAACTGATTTACAAAAATGCAGTAATGACACTTTATCCTAAACTCCTCTTTCACGAAAGAAAGCTAATAAAGGAGGCCCAAAATTTGATGAAGTATGGCAATATTTTACTCAAGGAGAAGAATTAAATCCAGGTCATTATAAAGCTACTTGTTATCATTGCAAATAGTAGTGGTCAATGGGAAGGCCAGTAGCTTTAAAAGCTCACTTGGCAAATGAATGTTTGGCATGTCCTGAAGATATTATCAAATATTGGCGTGATAAACTTTCTGAAAATACGGTGAATTACACCCGAAAGATGCATTTTTCACAAGATCAAACCCAAATTCCAAAGCCTCAGTACAAACAAACCAAAATTGTAAACCATTTTAGTTCAGATGAGCCACTTCCTCCTGAAATAAATAACCGTATTGATTGTTCTTTATTAAAGGCATGGGTGATGGCAGGGATTCCTTTTGAAGTTGTTGAGAATCCCTTTGTTTTGGATTTATTTAAAAATTTAAATCCAGCATATATCCCTCCATCTCGAACTACTTTGTCTGGTAGACTTTTAAATGAAGAAATTTCGCGTGTTAATAAAAAGGTTACATCTGAATTGGAGATAGCAGATAGTTTAACTTTAAGTAAGAAATTTTAATTTTTAAATTATGTTAATTATTAATTAGTTATTTTAATTTATTAATTCTCATCATTTATTTTATAATTAGCATTGGATGGTTGGACATCCAAACGAAATGAATCACTTTACAATTATGTCATAACAACTTCCGATAGAAAAGAATATTTAGTTGCTTTACGCAATTATTCTATGGAATCACATACAGGAGAATTTCTTGCTTCAGAAATATCAGATATTGTAGAGAAAATTGGTTTAGACAAATTTACAGCTGTTGTCACTGACAATGCTTCCAATTGTCGAGTTGCTAGAAGAATAATAGAAGAAAAATATGGTCATATTTGGGATATACGATTTGCAGCTCATGCTATTAACTTGATAGCAGCTGATTTAGTAAAACTTAATGATATAAAGTAATTTATCTCAAATTGTGGGATGATTACAGGGTTTTTTAATAATTCACATCAAGGTTCTGCAATTTTAGCTTAAGGTTTAAAAGATATGAAGATTAATATTGAGAGATTACAAATATGGTGTAAGACTAGATGGGTTTCATTGTATATGACAGCAGATTCAATTTTATGTGCGCGTCCTGTTTTTGACTGGGTGAGATAATTTTTTTGATTGTTTATTAATATTCTTTATTTTATATAATAATTCTAACAATTAAATACTATAGATTTTATTAGAACATAATGGTATTGTTACAAATTCAAACGTTTATCTCTTAATTCAAGATGAAGAATTTTTTACAAATTGTCTTCATATTCGTTCAATTTGGGCTCCCATCAAGGAATGCATTAATATCCTTGAAGCAAAATCAGCTTCTTTAGCTGATTGTTTCGTGCAAATGATCAAATTAGCAATTGCTATATTTCGTCTCCCTTCATCAAATCCCTTTAAAGCTTCAGCAATTCAGATTTTTAATCATCGTTATCTTGAATTTCAGCATCCTGCTTACTTATTATGTTATTTTCTTCACCCTTATTATCGAGGTATTTACTATTTTTCAGTTAATTATTAAAATCATTATTGCTAATAATTATTTTGATTTTTTAGGTCTAGGACTTAATGATGAAGGATTTAGAAATGCAGCAATAACTGCCACAACTCTCTGGCAAAATTTAGGATATTCTGAACAAGAATGTAGAGAACTTCTTACTCAATTCCGAAAATATGATCAAAAACTTAAACCTTATGATTTATCTTATGATAAAAATATGGATACACCCGAATTATGGTGGAGTTCTATAAGAAGTAAACCATATTATTTACGAGATCTTGCACTTCGTTTATTTTGTATTGCTGTTTCACAAGCAGGATGTGAACGAAATTTTTCTGTACTTAAATGGATTATTGGAGATAGACGCACAAGGCTTGATGTTCAAAAGCTCGAAGGTATTTCTAAAATTCGTTCTTATTACTTAGCAAGCATTAAAAATGAATTATCATATTATGGAAAGCATTTGGATGAAGCAGAATTAAGAGAAGTTGCCAATACCTCTGCAGTTGGTGAAATTATTGCTTTAGATGATAATGATAATGATACTAATTATCTGCTATTAGAGGAAGATCAGGAAAGAGAAGGTACACAAGAACGTACTACTTTAATATTGGAGGACATTATTGATTTTACACAACCAATTTTTGAAAATGCAGAAAATGTGGATAATAATACTAATGAAGAAATCAATATAGATAGAAATATGGATTTTAGTCCTATTGATTTAGTTAACCAAATTTTAGAAAACTAATTTGTTAGTTATTAATTTGTTGTATTAAATTCAAATTTATTGAATAAACTCATAAATCATATGTCAAATTTGGCAATTTATTATATTTTAAGTTACGGCAATATGGTATGCGTCTTAAGTTATGGCATACGTCATTATGTCAAATTTACTCTTGAGTTACATGCATTATACGTCTATGATGTGACTTAACTTAAGGTTACGTCACGTCATTAAGGCTGCACCTCTAGATAGAACCGAACTGAACTGGACAGTTCCGGTTCGGTTCCATTTCGGTTTTCGGTTCTACCCGAACCACAAAAAAACCGAACTGAACTGACCTGTTCGGAGCTTTATAGGAAATATTACTAACATTTCCTATATTTTTTTTGTAGGACCTTTGGCGCACTTGACTTGGAATTCGGAAATGGTAAATTTTGAAGTAGAAATTTATTTTAAATTATTTTTTTTTAATTTCTATTAGAAAATGTTACTAATATTTCCTATAATTTTTTTTTATAGAGCTTTCTGCATATTTGATTTTGGAGGAAAACGAAATAGTAAGTTTTGAAGCGTTTCACTTCAAAACTTTTAAAATTAATATTTTTTTTATTTTTTATTAGGAACGTTCTAATTAAACATTTCCTTTCTTTTTTGTAGATTCAGTTCTTAGGAATTTGGAAATTCAAAAACGGTAAGTTTCGTACATTTTGTTACGAATCTTCTGTTGTTTTTTTTATTTTTTTAATTAGGAAATGTTTACTAACATTTCCTTTTTTTTCTTTCATTTAGAAGATTTCAGATTAGATATAAACTTTTGCCAACCTAGACTTCGGAAGTTTTAGATTCTAGATGGTTATAGGTAAGTTTCACAAATGTTGTGAAACTTATGTATATATTTTTTTAATAGAAACGTTTTCTAACGTTTCCTTTTCATTTTTTTAGGTTTCAGGAGTTCAAGTCACTGGAAATTTGTAAATAGTAAGTTTTATTAATTACGTTGATTTTTTTAGGAAATTGTTATTAATATTTCCTTTCTCTTATTTTTTAAGTATCATCTGGTGTAAAGCTCTGAATGGATCGGTTTGGTCCAGATTATAGACGGTTTGGATTAGAGCCAAAATCCATAAGAACCGAACTGAGAAACTGGCGGTTCAGTTCGGTTTAATCTGATTTTTATAAAAATGTGAAAAATCGAATAGCCATCCATCCAGTAATCGTAAAAGGTCGAGCCATACATCATTGGATTTGTCTTGACGAGACGCGTCAAATAATGCAAAGATCATGTCTCTAGCATTGAGAGATCACACGTTAACTCACGCTAAATGATTTATCAATAATTAGAATTAGCAAGTCATCTATCAGTGCTAGAGACATGGTCTTACCACCATTCGATGTGTCTCGTCGAGAGGAATCTAATGATATATGGTTCAACTTTGCACGATCACTAGATGGACAGCTATTCGATTTTTCGCATTTTTATAAAAAATTGGATTAAACTGAACCGAACCGCTGGTTTTCAGTTCTAATACCCGAACCGAACTGAACCAAATTTTGAGCCAGTTTTGGATCGGTTTTCCGGTTTAGCCTGAACCATTCGGAACTTTAGTCTGGTGTTTGATTTTGGGGAAACAGCAGGTTGATTTTGTAACAATTTTCGTTGCAAAACTTATTTTTTCAAACTTTTTGTTTTAGTGATTTAGTAAAAATCAGAATGTATGAAATGAGTTAAAGAAAAAAAAAGCAAAGTGAATTGGAAAGATATCTGGGCGATACAAAGTTGTTGGAAATACGCAATATGTATAGCTATTCAGCGTACAAATTTATCATTGATGAACGTAAAAACTATCTTTGTTAAAAGTCATAGGTATTTTTACACATATTTTAAAGATTTAGGCACAACTATCGAAGAAAACTTAAAGAAGAAAGGTTTGGATAATATCTAAAGGATTAACATAGTTTTACATTAGACATTAGATTATTTAATTAGATTATAGATTATTTAAATTAGTGATACCTGGTTAAACTTTTTTTACCAAAAATTTCAGTTTTATCACCAACCAGTTTCGGTTTCGTCATTGACTAAACTATATAGTAATAATTTTTAAGTTTAAATTTTAATTATATAAAATTATAGTTTTATTATAAAAATATATGAAATTATATTATATATATAATAGTTTTATATATTCCTTTAAAAAATATTATATTTTAATATAAATTTATTATTATTTTTTTTTATAAGTAATTATTAATAATTAAAAATCCATGGAAATCTATAAAAAATCCATGAAAATACTATGGAATATTGAATTTTGGCATTTCGTCTACTATTTCGGTTTAGTTAAATGACTAAATATTTCAGTTTCGCCTGGGATTTCTAATTTAAATTGTAATATAATGAATTTAGTGTTAATAAAATAATAAAACAATACATTATTATGCTATATTTTCACGTTAGTATACACATTGTTTATCGAGTTTATTAATAAAAAAAATAATATTTTACAATATGAATCAACTAACATATAATACGCATTGTTTAACATTAATCTACCATTTTTATACGTGTTTTTTGATAGTGTCAGTCATTATAGGGTTAGTTTTTCTACGTTTTAAAGCGTTAAGCAACACTAGTGTCAATTGGTGTTAACTAACACTAGTATATACCACCCAAAATCTTACTGATGAAAAAGTCAGGATAAAAAAAAAAAAAAATTTAAAACAGTGATAACTAAAAAAAAAATTAGTATTCTACAAATACAAAGTCTACTATAGTGTCTACCACAATTCTATTTATAGTTATCAAGGCCAAGCAGTTGTTCTGTCAGTTCTCAAGCTTTCTTAGTAATGATCTAATTTCAGTTAACAAAGTAAGTTTTCTAGATTCACTACCATCTAAACTTTTCTTCATATTCCTAAAAGTAGCGGAAATATTTTTTTTTTTGAAAGGCTTGTTTATCTTAATTTTGTTATCTGTAGTATTTGGTCCAACCTTGTGTGCCAAGTTTTGGTTTTGCTTCTGATTTTAGCCACTTCTTGATGCGATTACAAGATTTAAATCTAAAACAATGATTTAAATTTTATTATTTAATTATTGGTTCAAATCAGGTTTTTTTTTTCTTGAAAGATTCTTATTCCGTTCTTTATATAAGATAATTTTGATAAAGAAACCAAACAAACCAGTTTAAATATTATTTGTCAATAAAATGCAGTTACATGATGGTTGATTATGACTTTTTGATAGTTGAGGTAAAAAATACCTAATCTAAACAGGACTTCACTTACTTATAATAAAGGTCACCATAAAAAATTAGCCTTTTACTAATAGTTTTTACCTTACTTTTTTCTTAAATTTTATTGGTTAATTAGCTAAAAAGAAAAAAAACTATAACAATATAACATAAAATTTCCTTTTATAGTAAGATCTGCAAAGAATTTATATATGATTTTTACCTTAGACCTGGGGTGACTATCTTATTATAAGTAAGCAGGATTCTGTCCAAACGCCTTCGAATTCTTGCAAGTTTGGCTTAGTATTGGTGATTTTATTCAAATCCGCTCAATTTTTGTAATATGTGATAAGCTTGCTGGTACTTTTCTTCTGAACTACTTTAAACGCTTTGCATCCCAAATGTGAGATAGGTGATTGGGAATGGTCCAATAGATATAGCAACAAAGTGGTAACAGTTTCAGGTATATTTTTCACCACAACTTGAAATAATTCACGTTCTTTTCTTTGTTGAAAATTCCAGTTAGCAGGATACTATCAGACAGGAGAAAGACCTCTTAAAGGAGTGGTCCAGACTCCTTAATTCTATAGACTCATAGCCTACTCATTGAAGTTGATTGAAATGGTAATCATTAAATATTTCTTCTGATGTTTAGTCTTGAAAGCGATCATGTGACTTTATTTTTCAAAATGTTAAAGAAGTTCAAGTTGAGCCCAGATGGAAGGGATATTGTATAAAGTAATTTCCTAAACATTGTCCTTAAATACTGGGTCATATCTGGTTATTATTGATTGTATTTCTTTTGGAGGATCGCGTTGTTGTTTATTTTTAGCCGGCTGAGCCTTGCTATCAGACGCCATGTGCTTGATCGCATTATTTTTCTGCCTTAAAGTTCTGAATGGGTTAGGTCAGGTCAGGTTAATTGATAAACCTGACCTGAAATTTTTTTTCAGGTTAGGTCAGGTTATATCAGATTATTTGTTTGACTTGACCTGTACTACTAGTGCTTCAATTCAGATGAAAACTTGAATATTTTCATATGATGATTATGGCTGAAAAAGATTATGAATTTCAGATTTAAACAGACTATAATTTAAACCAACATTAAAGTATTATTATCCCAAAAATTTATACTAATTCTGGCCAAACTCATAGTGCCAGCGAAATTTAATGAAATTCAATCCAGATGAAAATCTGGATAAAACTGCTACAGATCGAAGCACTACTGACCTGAACTGAAACCTGAAAATTTTCAGGATTTTTATTAAAATATCAAAAAAAATGGTGCAAAACATTTTTTTTTTGAAATATTGCGATTCACTTTCTTATATTAAAATCGTATAAAAAGGTGAATCGCAATACCGCAACTAACTTTTTTTATATAAAATCAATATAAAAAAGTGAATTCCGATACCGCAATTCACTTTTCATATATAAAATCAATATAAAAAAGTGAATTCCGATACCGCAATTCACTTTTCATATATAAAATCAATATAAAAAAGTGAATTCCGATACCGCAATTCACTTTTTATATATAAAATCAATATAAAAAAGTGAATTCCGATACCGCAACTCACTTTTATTATATAAAATCAATATAAAAAGTAAATTATAATACCATAACTCACTTATATAAAATCATAGTTTCTGGCAACCTAAACTGATACTGAATTGCAATTGCTAAACCTGACCTGATAAATTCAGGTCAACCTGTCAGAATTTGGTCAACCTGTTCGGAACTCTATTCTGCCTATTACTGGATGGAGTCAGGGAGGTGTCACGGTTGCTGCCTACATCTAAATTCCTGGAGGGCTGGAGGCCATTTCTGCAAACATAACAGTACGTCCTTTTCCTTTTGGAGTATAGGTATGGCTTTGGCATTCAATTTTGTGGAACTCTTCTTAGAGTTCTTTGTTGAAGATTCAGCAATCACATTCTCTGATTGGTGTTTAGTGTTTTGATCATTGTGTTCTACATCTATTAATTAGTATTCGACATTTTCAAAAATTTTCATTTCCATCGGCTATACTTGTGTTGATACTGGCGTACCATTGGTTAGTTCTGTTGACATAAACTGTGCCACTTGTTCTTAGATTGTTTTCTCAATGTAATTCTTTAAAGAGACTTTGTACTTGTTGGCAACAGTGGCGAGAGTGAACAACAAGTAGATAAGTTGTACCTCATTCTTAACACCAAGTTCTTTAAGTACTGGCCTATAGGTTTTAATAAAAGTTTCAGTATTGTTGTATTCTTCAGTAGGTAACATACGCTCTACATATCTTTGAATAGCGGTTGGTTCAGTAAGTTCAACTTCTGAAGGGCAATACGTAGTATTTCAAAAAAGTTCTTTCTATTAATATTACATTTTGTGATTTTTTTAAGGTCAATATTGTTGGTTTATTTGTTCAAGTGAGACATTTTTATGCAATAAAATTAAAAAAAATTAAAATTATTTTTCCGCTAAAAAATGGTCATAATAATCATCAGAAAGAGTTTTTTCTTTTTTAATTTTAGGTTTTAACTTTTTTTTATTTTTTAGTTTCTATAGTATTTGTATAGTTTTCATCATATTACATACTGTTTTTTTTGCTTATTAGTTTTAAAATTTGAAATTTTAGATTTTAGGTTTTTTTTGATATTAAATTTTTTTTATAATATAAATTTTAGATTAAATTAAAATAACATTATTTTTATATATTAAATTCAAAAGGGTGAAAAATGATTTTTTTTTTAAATTTTAAATTTATATTACTTTTATTTTTTTTAAAAAAAAATTTTAAACCTTTTTTAATTTTATAATTTTAAAATTTTGGATTTTTACAATTTTAAAAAGAGTTCAAATCTGTGTTATATCATATTCCTATAATATGTTACATAAAAAAGTCAAAAATGACATTCTAAATTCTTTTTGATATATTAAGAAAACTTGTAAAGCAGTTAAAAATATGCATAGTATAAGGTTTCTTATAGTATATAGTAAGTGCATAAGGTTTCACACCAGGATTTTTTAAAAAATGGGAATCTTAACAAAGTCATGTAATCAAAATGATCGACATAATTAATATAAAAATTACCAAAAAAGGGAGATGCGACATATAGCAGGCATAAAAAAAAACATAAATTCTTTAAATTTTAATTTTTTGAAATTTTAAAATCTTGAAAAAGAAAATTTTTAAAAATTTTTTATGATGTAAATTAACATTACAATTATATTAAAAGAATAAAGGCCAATATATCGTACCTAAAATTTAGAATTGAACATACATAATATAGAGGAAGTGCACTTAGCTTTAAGTCCCAAGCTCTTAGTATGCATATAGAGAGGGAGTGTGGGTGTACTTATAGGTGTTACTGTACTTTGATTCTAATTCTTTATTATTGATTTTTTTTATTGTATTAGTCATTTTATTTAACAATTTTATATAATAAATAATTAAAAAAAACTTTTTTCTATATAATAGGAACCTTTGGATATTAAAATTTTTAACCAATTAAGTTTCATAAATTATTTATGTAATTATGTAATTTACACTTCCTTTTTAATCATATAATTAAAGTCTAATTCTGCAAATCTGTAATTTTAGCCGTAGTTGCAAAATCATATAATTGTTTCAGCAGTAATAACTCTAGTTTCAGATTATAAAAAAATTTCGTTGTCATGTAATTATATACAAAAATAAAAAATGGGTTAATAAAAGCATGCAATTTTATAAAAAATATATACAATAAAGTCCAAATAGAAAAAAGGAATCCTATCGGATTATTATGTAATTTATATCATGTGATTTCGCAATTCAAAAATTCCGATGACAATTAAGGGTTCTTTGTTCTTTGATGTGTGCGTGGCCGCTTGAAGCAAACAAGAATGATAAAATTTGATTTAGTTTAGTTTATATGCATGATTTCTAACTTTATATAAATAGTTTCATTTGGATTTCCCGATTTGAGTTTTTTCATCGCTTATTACATGCATAACCAATTAAATTTGTAGTCATTGAGTTTCAAAGAGGATAATTGATATATAAACATATAATAAACGTATTTATCTTTTGTTTTTTTTAAAAAAAAAAAAAATAAAAATAAAAATAATTTCAATACATCTAATATCAAATTGTTTTAACAAATTATGGGAAATTCATTGGAGAAAACTAGTCAAACAACATCAGATACCTTGCCCTTTAAGCATGATATTAAATCAGGAATTTACGGTTATATGATGAGTGTAGACGAAATCATCAATACCGCAATTAAACAATTAACGACGAGTCAGCTCTACAATTGCTGTATTGATCCACTTGAATTAAATAATATTCCATGTTTTTCTCCTGTAGAAAAATCAGATTTATCAAAATTCTCAATTGTAAATTTATCAAGAAACGTTTGTTCATCCATGGGAAAAGAATATAAATCAGAATTTGAGAGTATTTACGATTTTTTGAAATTTAATATTGAAGGAAAATTGTTAAAAAGTAAATTAAATGAAATTAATAGTGTACTAAGAGATGGTCTTAAACAAATTCAAGTGGAAATTGAAGATTTAGAAAAGAATCTTTCAGAAGATGAACTAAAAGCTCAGTTAAAGAAATTTAGTTTGGCTTTAAATAATTGGGGTATGGAGAAATCACATATGTGGGCATCCATTTCACGTCAGTTACTTGAATTCATTCAATCTCACGCGGATGGCGCAGCATTCAATAATCCCAAATGCTTGGAAATATATATTACAGCTTTGTGTTTATACGCATTCGCTAGGTTACGTTCCGAACGAAAATCACAAGAAGAGCCTATTGATAAACAAATTCAGCGCGTCATAGATGATGCATGTAAATTACTTCGGAAGTTCATTCAAAATGTCACTTATCATAATGCAGAAGCTTCATTTAAACGTGAACAAAATCCTTATTACGGTATTGAAGAACTTCCGGGATGTGGACCTGTTGACATTTTTTGTGGTTTACATAAGGGCCTAAAATCTGCTACAATCCAAAAATTCGCTTGTGAGGATAATCAGGCAATTTCCTTTGATAAAGAATTACAAGAGATTAATTCTTTTAAACTTGGATTTAGCAAATTACATGTTCTTTTACCAAAAACTTTTTATAAACAAGATAAAGAAAATAATAATAATATTATTGTAGATGTTAGGGTTCCTTTTCGATATAATTTTGATTCTTCCTTTGATATTGATCGTATTTGGGATTATAGAAGAGAAATTTGGCAATTTAAACCGAATGAATATTGTGTTTATATTTCTCCCTTAGTATTTAGAGCTATTCATGAAATTTCTGTTATTTCTGCCGTTATCAATAGCAATGAGACGGAGAATAGTGTTTTTGAACGGCCAAGTTATTCTAAATTAGCTAAAGCTTTTGAACGTAAATTGTTATATAGCGTAGAAATTACTTCGGAGTATGAAAAAGTTGTTGAAAACCAGGAACCTTGGAAAGTTTATGTTGTGTAATATTGTAAATTAAAATTGTAAATCGTATGGTTCACGTGGAATAAAAAATTGATTTTGATAATTTTGATATAAATCTTTAAAAACATAAGGTTGGTAAATCATTGGTGATGATATAAACACATGATTTCATTGACTAAACCAATTTTATCCAAATTTATAACGAATCAAACATATTTTCTTCCAGTTACACGTATTTAAATCTTTGAAATCTTTGCCGTTGTTTGAATCTCATGATATAATAGGGAGTCAATAATTTGTGTGCTCTTTACAATTATTGAACTCTAAGAAAACTTTCTGCTTTGAAAGTATTCTGGTGTTGCTTTGTTAGTGCTGATCTCCCGGCATTCAATATTCAATATTCTGATTTTTCACTATTCTCGTAATTACGATTTATTTCTTGCATAGCATCTTACACAGAATTTTGTTACTTAGAAAATTCTACTAAGAAAGTTCCTCGATTTTTTATGGATATGGGCGATTGCAACAGTAAAAAAATGACAAAATCATCTCAATTCATAACGTCATATTGTTCCCACTTCAATAACGCCAAGGACCTGAAATCAAAAGAAATTTCTTATAAAAATTCAAGTAGAACTTCCCCGACCACTATTCATAAAATTGCATCCCCAGTTTCTGTTAATATTAAGCATGATGGTAATGGCGTGAATGCACTTACTTTTTTCCGGAATGGTGAATATGTGAAACAAAGGCCGAACAAGCTTGTTCGTGCTGATTTATTTAAGGATCAAAAAGGGACAAGACTTAATGGGTTTTTATTTTTATTTATTTATTTATTTTCAAAAAAAAAAAGTTATTATAAATACTTTATATTATTAAAAAAATTTCGATAATTTTTTTTTAGTTCTATTGTCATGGCAAATGGTTCCAATAGAGTTTTTAAGTCACAGATTGTGAACAAACAATGTACCTACTTTAACAAATATGGTATGAAAAAATTTTCTCTCTTATTTAGTTTTGATTCATTCAAAAATTTTATATTTCAAAAAAAATTTTTTTTCATGCAGGTCGTTGCAAGGATGGTGATTTGTGTTCATATAAGCATAATCCAAATAAGGTCGAGATTTGTAAAAAATGGCTCAAAGGAGCAGAGTGCTCTGGCAAAAAATGTTATCGTCAACATATTTTATCAGCCCATATAATCCCACATTGTAGTCATTTCGCAAAGGGAATGTGTCTTAAAGGTAGTGAATGTCGTTATACACACGTAAAGGTCAGCAAACGAGCTGATTATTGTAAAGAATTTATGGTAGACGGCTTCTGTGATGCAGGTGAAAATTGTCGGAAGAAACATGAATGGGCGAATATATAGAATCCGAAGCCTTAATAGTTATATCACGTCCAAAAAATTCAAAGATAAACGATGAACCAAAAGCAACAAACGAATTCTAGAGATTGGTTCCTTGAAGAATGCTAACCGCTCCTTTTTTTATTTTATTTTTTGATTTTTATTTACCATTTTTATTGTACATAATTTTGTAAATAATGCATGATAAAAATATTATATTAATTTGCGAAGATAAAAATAAAAAATAATAAATTAAAGGAAGTATTCCCGAAAGGAATCATGCGAAAAGATTAAAAAAATTTTTTTTTTAATGATAATTAGCCATTTTTAGGAAGCCCGAAGCAATTTCAAAAAAAAATTAAATACTAGTCCGAATCGTAAAATTTGTAAAATTTCGATTTACTATAAACAAAGTAGATCTGTACATATCAAATTCGGATATTCATCAATGAATGGTTTTACTATTATTTGTTTCACTGTAGGGTATCTATTACCCAATTTTGATTAATGCATGTAAACTATATAACGAAGCAAAAAAAAAATTATTTCAAGTATCACTTAATCGGTTCTTTACCCACAAAAAAAAAAATATATTATATATTTTTTTTATTCTACTCCCTTTTTACATATACAATGGCAACATTTAAAGAGACCTCCTCACTTTATCAAAAGGGTAAAACTGAAGAACTAAATCCTAAAGAAGCTTCAAAACTTAAGGTAACCAATAAAGTTTCAAATGTCCTTTCTGCGGCACGTATGTTTGAAACTATGGCAACACCTTCCATAAAAGATAAACTGGCAAAATTTGAAAATAAAGGACCAAAAAACAATGAAATATCCTCAAATATTGAACGTAAAAATAATATTAAAGGATTTGAAACAAATATAAATAAAAAAAATAACATTAGTCCTTCAAATTTTGAAAAAAAGTCCAATAATTCTCCGTCTATTTTAAATAAAGATAATAAAAATAATATTGCCATTGATAAAAAATCCACTTCCTCTTCCTCCTCTTCTATCACTGAAAAAAAAAGTCCTACCACCATTAATATCAGTAATACCAATAATACCATGACCACTGATACCATGACCACTAATACCGATAAAATTAGCCCTAATCCCATTATTACCGATAACAAAGATTTAGTTAAAAAAGATTCTGCTATTGACCTGATGAAAAATTCAACTTCAGAACAATCTCCACCTACTAATGCTGCCGCGGCTATTGCAATGTTGGCTTCTCGTATCTCTGCTTTAGAGGACGAGCTAGAAACTGTAGGAAAGGAAATGGTAGATAACGTAAAAAGGGAAATAGATCTAGATTTAGAATTAGATACAAAATTAAATAAAAAAGAGGAAGAGATACAGACTGTTACAGAACCTATACAGGACAGATTAATTCAACTTGATGCTGACCTAGCCCAATATAATAAATATAGAGTTAGTGATGATAATAATGATTATAGTAATAAAAGAACATCTTCTGACACAAAATCTTTAAGGGAGCATTCGGATTATTTTTCGGATCCTACAACTTACACTACTTATAATTCATCATCAGACATTTATAGTTCAAAATCATTATCACGAAGTTCTCCTACCGATTTTTCAAAGTCGGAAAATGGAAAATATTCTGGTGAGGGAAATGGAAGTTTTCAAGATGATAATAGTAGTGTTAGTAGTATAGCATCATCTACTTTTTCTCGTTCTCGAGTACCATCATATGAAACAAATCGTAGTATATATAGTGCTGAGATGGATTCATCAGAATCTTTAAAAGCTCAATTAGAGAAAAAGTATAATGAAGACCTAGAAAAAGCAAGACAAGAATTAGCAGATGAATTAGAAAAGACAAAAAATAAGCATTGGAGTGAATTAGAGAGGACAAGGAAAGAGCTTTCAGAGCAAAATAAGTGGAATGAAGAAAAAATTCGTATGGAATTAACTAATTTACATAAATCTGAAAAAGAAGAATTGATGAGAATTTATGATGCTGAAAAAGATAAGATAGGGACTGAAATTGAGACATTAACAAGAATAAAAGAACGAACTGAAAAGGAGTTAATAGAATTAAAAGAACGTTTTGAAAGTGAAAAACAATCTATAATACGAGAATATGAGAGAGAAAAAGGACTATTAAGGGAAGAACATGAAAAACAATTAAATAATATTTCAAGATTACAAAATGATGCTCAATCTACAATAAATGAAATAGATGAAATAAGAAAACTAAATGATATTGAAAAAATGGAGTTAGAGAGTAGGTTAGAAAGAGCTCATCAATCTGAAAGAGAACTACTTTTAACAGAAATAAAGCAGAAGGAAGAATCTGAAGCTAACTGGCGACAATATAAAAAAGATACTGAAGCTACTTTGAATGAATTAAAAACACAACTTTCATTGCTTGGAAGTTTAGCACAACAAAAGGAAGAAACTGAATCCAAGTTGAGTAAATTGGATGAGGAACATTCGCGTACTCTTGAAGAATTGCAAACCCTTATTAGGAAGAGGGAAGATGCTGAAAATACACTTGTTCAATTTCAGCAAGAAAAAGAAAAGATTATCCAAGATCTTAAAAATGAACTATATAATAAAGAAAATGCAGTATCTGCATCGAAGGAGTTGCGTGATCAACTTAATGATGCTAATGATGAATTATCTAAATTGCGTCTAGAATTGTCCAATCGTGATTCAGATATCAACAAAGTTAATGAGCGCTATGAAATATTAGAAAATTTAATATCAGATAAAAAAGAACAAATTCAAAGGTTAGAACGTCAGGTTCAAATAGAGAGAGATGAAAAAAATAGAGAGATTTGTGAATTGAAAAATTTCCATCAAAGAGATCGTGAAGAAGCAATTGCCACACTGCGTTCAGAATTAGCGTCTTCACATAGTCAAGATCTTGAAAAACTTCGAGAACAACTTATAAATGAACGTAAAGAACAAGAACGTTCTATTAGACAAGAAATGGAAAGGAATCGTTCTAATGAATTTGAGTCAAAACAGTCACGTTTAAAAGAAGAATACGAAGCAAAAATCGCCGAGTTAATACGTAATAATGAGACTCTTGAACGCAAACTTTCTGAAAATGCTGTATCTGTTAAACTTATTGAGGATACTAGTCGTCGTTTGGAAACTGCGGAAATGTCTTATTCAGAGCTTAGTACAAAACATCAACAGTTTGTTCAAAAAAATTTGCAAATGTCTACTGATCTCATTAGTTTACGCAATAAGGTTGAAGAGCTTGAACAAAAAAACGAGACATTGGTAAAAGAAAAGAAAGTTGAACAAGAAATTTTTAATTCAGAAAAACAGCGACTAGCTTCAGATTTAGATAATGCTAAAGAAGAAATGCAGCGTATACACGAGGAAGGTTTATCATTAAAAGGTGAAGTTAAAGAATTAGAAGGAGAACGTAATAAATTAGCTGGCGTTATATCTATAATGAAGGAAGAATGGGAGAAACAGTATAAAAATTTAAAAGAAAAATTTCAACAGTCAGAGGTGGAAAGAATTGATTTACTTTCTCAAGCGACAGATTTTCAAGAAGAAAATCTTAAATTGAAAGAGGCAACCGAAAATTTAGACAAACAGAAAGATGCTTTATCGAAACTTTTGGAAGAACATCAAAATGGAATGCAAACTTTAATGAAAGATATGGCTTCTGAACGTGAAGTATGGCGACAAAAAGAAGCCGACCTTATTACAAATCATGAATCTATGGAATCTGAATTTAAACAAAAGGGATCTGAATTAATTATTGTTCGTGAAGAGTTAGAAATAGCTCGTTCTGAAAGGCAGACAATGAAGCAAAAATTAATTGATGTTGGTAAAGAAAAAGTTGCAGCAGATATTAAAGTACGCGAATTAGAGACCGAAAAGAAAAAAATAGAAGGCGATTTGTCAAATATTTCAGAAGAAAAGAGTAGACTATCAAGTCAACTGACAGATGCCAGAAAACAATTGGATAGACTAAAGGAACAATTTAAAGATTTAAAAGATGATGATGAATCGCGTATTCTTCGCCTTACTAAGGAAAAAGAAGAATTAAAAGACAAATTGTCTAATATTTCTAGTACACATAGTGAGGAACTTAAAGCTAAGTTAAATAAGATTGAAATTGAGTATGAGAAGAAAGAAATGGAAATTTGTCAACTTGAAACGAGCAAAAGACAGTTGCAAACGCGTATTGAGGGTCTTGAAGCTTCAACGAATCGTCTTACAATAAAATTGAAAGCAGCAGAGTCAGATGCTGAGCAGACTAAACGAAATGCTGACATTCAATCACGAGAACTTCAAAATCGTCTTAGAGATTCACAGATTGAAATCGAAGAACTCCATAAACAAGTGACAGATCTTCGACAAAAACTTATTGAGAAAGAGCATATTGTAGAAACTCATAATAGACAATCTGCAAATAAGGATGATGTAAGACTTTCAAATGCTACAATGACCATTACGACTCTTAATAAACAGATAGAAAAATACAAAGTATCCCATGAAGTACTTGAAGAGCAAATCGCATCACTTAATAAGAAACTTTCTGATGCTGATGGTAAGGCCGATAAGTCTATTACACAGGCCGAAAAAACTATATCTATGCTTCGTAATAAACTTGATACAATTCAAAAGGAACATACTCAAGAAAAAAATCAGCTTAAGGTGCAACAAGAGGAGGAAATTGCAAATCTGACCAAGATGTTAGAATCCATAGAAAAACGGCAGCGTAACATTTCAACTAATGATGTAAATATTGGTTCAAGTAAATTAAGTGATTTGGAACAAAAAATTAAAGAATTGGAAAGTTTATTAAAAAAATCACAAGGGGAATGTGATCGGTTGAGTGAGACACTTGCACAAGTTCAAATGAGATATTTGGATGCAATTAATGATAAGGATCAGTTGACGCATGAAAAACGTGAAGTTGACAAAAGGTTTAGGACCTTGGAAACCCAGTATCAAGAGGTAAATAACGTTTGAGATTTTAGTTTTTTTGTTTATATTTGTTATACTTTTATTATTCATACGTTTATGTATTTTTAATCATTTATTAATAGGTCTTGCAAAAGAATATGGATTTAGCCATTCAATTGAGTTCGAGATAGGACAAATTGAAATCAGTAAATTTTTTGCTTTCTTCTTCCCCCATCTATAATAACCAACTAATACGATTTTATTCAATAATTTATATAATTTTCTAAAAAAAAACCTCGATTATAACAACCATATTTATTAATAGCTATTTATTGTTTTAATTTACTTTGTATTTTTCATTCCTTATAATTGTAAATTGTATTGTTTAGGAATTTAGGTTAGGCAATTAAGAAATTTAAAATGGTATATATATTAATTATAACTTAATAATTAAAATTGATAGATATTAATATAATTATAAATTACTAGATAAATAAAAAGACTTCTATTTAAGATTATAATTTACATAATTCCCCAAACTAATTCTTCAACATCCTCCCAATTTTTACATTCTCTAATATTAGGTAGACAGCCAATTAAATATTTTACAGCACCTTCAAATTCCCATAAAAGCGTATACCACATTGCTCTTCTTTTAAACATTCTCATTGAAATTTTTTGTTTACTTTCTATTTCATCATCATTGTATTTTTCTAAAAATCTTTTTAATAATAATTTTGAACATCCTAATACCGAAATATAAATTGGTATTAAATCAAATAGTGGATCACCTCCATATAATTGTGAATCACCTAAATCAATAACAGTTGTAGGCGTCCAATAACCTGTTAATTCATCTTCATCTAAACCATTATGATTATTATGATTTTGATGATTAGATGTTTCCTCAGATGATGTGAGAATTCCTAAAATATTTTCGGCATTCAAATCACCATGTAATATTCCTGCTAATGACCCATCAAGTTCTGGATTATACAATTCAAGTGGTGATGATGGTAAATATGAAGAAATTTGTGAAATTAATTGTGGGGAAAATATTAGCCATTCGGAATGAACTTTTGATGCATGTGATAGTCGACGAGAAATAAATTTATGAAATGGATGTAAGGATGATTGTTCAGCAGTTGTTAAATCTAATGCCATACTTTCATCCACGATAGAAATAGATGGTAAACTATGTAAAGCTAAAAGGACAATTAAATTATAAATCATTATAAAATAAAATAAAGTTATATACAATCGAATATCTCAACTTACCGTTAAGAATTTCAGCAGAAAAGTCGGCCACTTCACCCCATTTTACCATTCCTTTCTCTCCATTCACATCTACTTCATCACTGAGACTTAAGCCTCCCCCGACAATCACTTCAGCAAGACTCACTCCACCATCAATGGCGGCTTCAATTACAAGATATGGCCATCTATAATTTCTTTCACTGCTTTCATCGAACAGATAACCTGACCCTATAAGTCTGGGGAAATACCTTGTATATTTCTCGGAAATGTGATTAGTAATTATAGAATATGCCTTACTCTCCGCATAAAATGTTTTAACACCATTAAATAAATGGGAATAAAATTTTATCACAGCTGTAGAATTTCGAAAAACCTAATATATTTATAAAAAATGTTTAATATAAAGCGCAATATTATCGATCAAAATTAAATTAAACATGAACGTCTTTACCGGATTTTGTCCATGTGAAATAACCTTTATAGGTACATTCTCGTTCAACTCACATCTTCTTAATACTTCAATTACTCTAGGTTGCCAAATTCTTAAATCACGGAACCCTTCAAGAAAATCCAGTTTGGAAGAAAATCCTTCTTCCTTTATAACTGAATCATCAGTATTATCTGAGAACATTGATATTCTACGTGTAATGAATGGTTCAAGATTTGGATAAGTCATTATAATATTTTCATGGAAAGTTTCCCATACCTAATTTAGGATGTAATCAAAAAGAAAATTATAATTTGATACTAAATTCAATGAGATAATTTTTAGACTATTTGTTATGAATAGTGTACATGCTTTATATTTATCTTTTTCGCCAATCAAAGATTCACAAACGTGTTCGAGGTTATGTATATTGGCAAAGTTTTGAGTAACCGCAACAGTATCATCAAGATTAAGAACCTAAAGATATTAAATAAATTGAGATTAAAGGTAAAAGAGGCCAATACAAAAAAAAAATAAAATAAAATAAAATAAATTACCATATGCCACCAACCACTATAAATCGTCAACCAAGAAAAGAAGACTGTTAATATAAAGAATGTATTAAAGTCATATAATTTCGTTCAATAATTTATATGTTTATGATTTACCTTGGAATAAAAATAGTTTGTCTAAAATTATTAAAAACAAAATAAATATTGTAATTAAATTTAAGTATTAATAAAATTAGATTGTGTTAAAAATATAAATGATTACCCAGGCTCTTGTATAATCTCTAGTGGGCGCATTTCCGGAGTTAATTGAGGATAAACCTCAAGATACCAAAATAAAGAAGTTGCTGAATCCTTAGCATTTTCAAGCACATCTGTACTATAAAGTGACTGGTGCCCATTAATACCGGTTCGAGATATGCTTAAGCCTAAAAAATAAAAAGTACATGGTAAATCAAAATTTTTATTAGCAAGGATGTATGGAAAGAAGTAGATCGAAAAAGGCAAAGGGGTAAGCTGATAAAATTCAATATTTACCCGGAGGAAAAACATGTGGTGGATACCTAAGAACTCAAGAAAGGGTTAAATGTTAATTTGATAAAAATACATTTCAGTTGAAAATCTAAACATACAATGCCCAACGTTTTCTCCCCTCAATAGTTGTATTCCAAGCTATCCATAAAAAGAGAGATTTACAAGATTTAAGTACAAAAAATCAAAACAGAATCTGCATGACGCTCTTATCATGATATAAATTAAAAGTTTAACCTGACGTTCCAGCAGGATCAACATGCCAAGATGCGCCTATAAAAGAAGAATTATAAATTTATTCCTTCGCAAAAAAAAAACGAGATTCGATAAATAAAAATTATCAAATCTCACCTGATCTTGCAGGACCAATTATAATCCACCGATACGGTGGTCTTTTATCTGGTAAAACTGAAAAGAAATCTTCTTGAAAGTATTTTGGCACTTCATATGCTTCAGCCATTTCCGAATCTCTATCAGCAAAATTGGCATCAAAAATATACAAAGGAGTTTCATCATGTTGAATACGTATATAATGTGCATATGATTCTAGAGACATCGATAAATATCGATATTTTCCACCTCTTTCATTAGCTACACGGAATACAGTTTTTCCATACTTTAAGAAAATCAAACCAAAAATTAATTTGAAGTACGAAAAGTATAAAATCAAACAAATAATAATAAATTACAATAAAACCTTCTTCAATATATTTTCCCATTTCCAATCAGCCCAAGCTTTCCACTTTTCAACTTCATTATTCTTTATCAAAACAGGAACAGACTGTGCATCGTACAAACTCTCAAACTTCTCTTTTGTCAATTCCACACCATTTTCTATAGGAATCACAGAATCTGATGAAATCTCAGGTGTTGGTGTAAAATTGACAAGCAACATATTACAACGACACCATTTTGCATATAAATAATGACTATGTTTTATAATTTCTATAAAATAAGCGGTAATTAATTTACGAAATTGATTGAAAATACAGGAGCAGTAATGAAATAGGCTAAAATACTTAAAATTCTTCAGTGTAATTATATTTACCAGGGAATTGTAAAAGTCGACAAAGTGGATGTGCCCAAACTTTTTCTTTTTCCTCACGTTCGCTCAACATAGTTGGAAATAAATAAGTGAGTAACCAAGTTCCACGAAACAAAAAGTTTTGCATAATCTCACGGTTATCGCCCCATTTATCCAAACAATGTTTCTTCCAAAGTTGATCATCACGAGAAAATACATAAAAGAAACGAGATACTCGAGCACAATGAGCTAAATCCTTTTGTTAATGAAATAAAAGAATTTTTCGCTTAAAATGATATTTTGCTGTAACATGTCTTTTTTATTGAAAAATTCGAAATAAATAAAAACCAGATCTGATAATTGTGCCAAAATACGCTCTGAAAATATATCATCTGGAATAACATGAAGAGTTCCCAGGCCTCTGGTTCGAGGATCCATTATATAAATTACAAGCTAAACAAGATGAAATAGGAAAAGGAAATATGAATTTAAAAAAACCAATGCATGCGCAATATTCGAATGTCAATTACCGTTTTATAAATTTTACTTACAAGTTAAGCTAATGCAAAAATGAAGTCACCTCTGAACTATAATAAAAAAAAGGATAAATGAGATTTAATTCTAAATAACTAAACAAATAAAACTACAGTAGTTATGTATCTTCAGAAAAAGTTGTTGTTCACATATCACAACATCCTTGCGTATTTACACCAGGCATGTGCCGCATAAGATGGTATTCGAACGCAAATTACCAAAATATGTAATCATCATATGAAACTAATTGAAATATTTAATAGAAATCAAACTTACAATATACCAAAGAATTTTTTAAAGCCGATTTACAGATGATCAATAAATTTGAATTTATAATAAGAGATTATCATGTAACTTAACATAAAAGTACTTCTGCAGAAATACATACATATTGTATCACCAAATTTGCTTCATCAAATCAAAAGTCGTCAACGAAGAAAAAACAAGTAAACAAATTAGAATTTTTTTTTCTTTACAGTCAATATAAGCATACGTTCCTTTCAAACAACGATTCTCTGAAATATGTCTTCAAAGAATCGTTTTATTACTTTTGGTTTTTTCGTTTTCCTTTTGATCCTAGTGCTCTCACCATATGTAAAAGCCTGGGACAATGGTATGTACCTTTTGATAAGGTTTGTGTCATGGTTATAGTTGGTAAACCAATACCCTTTCAATGTTTATTAATGCGATTCACATATTTGATATTTTTAGAGGACCATGAAATATTTACACTTGTAGACGATTTAGAGGCTTCTGAAGGAAATGATGTAAATTTTTATTCTTGGCTTGGTTTAGAACCTACAGCTACAGAAGAAGATATTAATAGAGCATATAGAAAATTATCACTTGCAGTACAGTAAGTTGGATTTCCGATAAACATTATACATAATACGGATAAATTACACTTTTGTTAATTAATATTTCTTCTCTTTATTTTAGTCCTGATAAAAATCCTGATGCTAAAAGTAAAGAAAAATTTGCTCGATTAGGCAGAATTAAAACAATTTTACGTAATCCAGAAGAAAGAAAACGGTATGATTTCTTTTTAAAAAATGGAGTGCCAAAATGGCGTGGCACTGGATATTATTATAGTCGATATAGACCCGGATTAGGAACTGTTTTAATAGGATTATTAGTGTTGATATCATTTTTACACTATATTATATTGTGGATCAATTACTTTCAAGAAAAAAATAGAATCCGACATTATATAAAAGAATCGAGAGAAATTGCTTGGGGCAAAAGAATGAAAAAGCAACAAACGAAAAAACGCGTCTTCGTAAACGATTTATCATTTATGGTCGAAGGTGATCATGTTTTTTTCTTGGCTGATGACGGGGGAGAATATGTATTAGATGAAGAAACAGTTGTTCGACCAAAAATCACTGATGTAATTGTTTTTGTGTTGCCCGGATGGTTTTATAACAATATTAAAAAACAATTTTCTGTGAAAAAAACTAATTCTTTAGTAAACTCTGAATATGAAAAAGAGGGATTCAGCAGCGATGATGATCGAAATGAGGTTGTTGATAATCTTAGGAATAAGACAAGAAGACGTAGAGGCGGGAATAAAAGGCAAAACAGTAAACTGAAATCTTAGATCATTTATTTTTGATAGATTACTAATTCTAGATTTAATTACCGACATTAATTTATGTTTTACCTTGAATTAATTTAGAATAACTTTTTTTTGTGGGTTACTTTATTAAAAATAGATTCTGCTAATAATTTTAATAAATATAATTATATAAACACGATTTGATGCAGCAGGTTCTATGATTTTATTTTTTTCGTGACACTTACAAAATACGGTAGAATGTTACAAGAATAGAGTATTCCGAAAGGCAAATCTTTCTAATTTTCTATAATTCTCTTCTTTTCCTAATCTCCAAATATATTCGTTCAAATCCATTAAATTAATTTCATTCCTCCCTAATTCTTTGGCTCGTGATACAATGATTTCACAAGCGTCAACGGCAGCAGCACGTAAACGAGATGCATCTTGTATATTTGTGATTTCTTTCCCATCATCAAAATATTTTTTAAGTGATGATGTTAAATTAATTACGTTAAAATGATTTAGCATAGTCGGTATAATATTATCAGCACATAGAGTAAGATCAGATATGTCAGAAAAGTCAAAATTAGTCGTTTGGGAATTAACATTTGAATGGAAATGGCGATAGAGATTAGCGGCGAGGAGTTGTGCTTTTTTAAATATGTACACCGCTATGATCACGTAATTAACACGTAATATAAATTAATTCATCAAATTAGGAAAAAAAAAACAATAACTTATAATCTTACGTTCTCCATCGACTTTTGTTATGTCTCGAAAAGCTGGAAAAGCTCGAACTAACTAAAAGAATCAAATCAGTCGTACGCCTAAATATCAAATAAAAGGCCATATTTCACATAAATCACAAACCTTCTCTACAAATCTAGAGGCTTTAGACTTTTCATTTGGTTTCTCAGGTTTAGCAGCTTCCAATATGAAAGCTGCAAAATTTTTGTACCCGTTTTCTTCCAGTATTCTTCCTGTGTCATTTAAAGTCCATGTGATTAATTCCACTAAAGCTCGTGATTTTGAAGGCTCAGAAACCTTGATTGCTTCGATTGTCGGATGGACAATTTCGACTTGCAATGGTATCTGAAAGAAGGAAGATACTTCAGAAAGTGTCAATGAACGTAATGCGTGTGCAGATAATGGAGATGATGTGATATGAATGGACATAACTCCATAACGGATCGTATTAAAAGCACCCTATTATAGACAAAATATTAGCCTTTCAAAAGAAATCCGAATGATATTAGTGAGTTCTATGAGTATTACCCTGCCACATTCTTCATGCAATTCTTTACGAAATCCGCTTCCAAAATTCAATAAACCAATTAATCCAATAATGTTTAGTTCTTGCTCTAAAGTATCGAATTTTAGCGGCATCTAATAATTTTATGTTTTTCATCAAGCTCAAACGTTCGCCAATACTAGAATAAAATGGTGAATTAATTTTACCTGTAATCCATCGCTCTTTGAAAGTTTTTGAAAATGGCTAATGTCGATATTTTGAATAAAATCTCTTATCGCATCCTCATTTATCTATCAAATAATTATTTAATATTTTATAGTCGTCGTTTTTTATTAAATGAACATAATACATTACCAAAATGCGACTTCGTTCTCGACAGGCATGACATGAGGTTCGTACTGCTTGAACAAAATTACCCTGAGGAAAAGGGACAGCGTCGTCAATTAAGCCACTAATGTTTATATTTGACATTCCTTTTTGAAATTTAAAAGCTTAATTTACGGTCACGTGGAATCAAAAAAATTTAAGAAATAGATGATGAGCTGATCAAAAAAAAAAGTCCAAATTGACTAGTATGAAGATATTTACTGGAGACGAGACCGGACTCGTTAAATGTAAGATATTGATTTATTCTAATTTAAGCACAATTAATTTACCAATTAATGCTTTTTTTAGCAATTACATTTTCAGAAAATTCAGATTATGCATCCTCGCCCATTGTTAAAACATGGGGAAAAATCGACAGAAGTAAAAGCATACAATTAATGTGTTATACAACTGCTTTAGAAAAAAAGAAGGTATTGAGGTAATTAAATAATTATTTAAAAATAACTATTTTTTGATTATTTTTTAATTAGTTAATAGTTGCACGAAAAAATGGACAAATCGATATTCTTGATACAAACGATGGTAAAATAAGCCAAGAATTTTTTGAAGCTCAGGTTACTGGCGAACATAAGTCAAGTGCGCGATTCGTGGGTTTATTTGCGAATGACAGGCAGGGTTTTTTTAAGTAAACCTATACCTAATGATAAATTACCTGACTAAAGTATTTAATTTAACATTTAGCATATTAGTAACATGTACTGATAAGGGTATTGTCCGATATCAATCCATTTTAGAAGATAATGTATGAATGAATTTTTTGTACACCAATTGTGCAATAATAAGCTTATGAAAAAACGTACGCGTGTTTTTAATTGATTTAATTAGTTATCTACAATAGAAACAACCCTTACGCTTGCACCAGACTTGTGCCGTTTAAGAGTACATCCGAAGGAACATCATATATTTGCTTGCGGAGGCAAGGAACGAGAATTATCATTATGGGATGTAAATTCCTACAAAGAAGGGATTTGTTTTATTAAAACTCAAAAAAAAGAGCAAAAGGCAGGGTTGGTTTGGATGTCTAAAAACGTGAGCCATGATTTTTTGGATTTACGCGTTCCAGTTTGGATTACCGATTTACAATTTCTTAGTGAGCAAGAAACAACGAAACTTGTGGTTGGCACTAAATATCATCAAGTAAAAGAAAACTACTTTATTGTGATAAAAAGATTTAAATTTTTTTTATTTTATTCAAAATTTTCATTTGTATAGATTCGAATATATGACACAAAAGCCAAGCGTCGACCAGTATCTGATTATAATATTGGGAATAATCCAGTTGTATCATTAATTATTGGTCGCAATTCAAAGTATGGACTTAATTTCTTAATTTCTTAATTTCTTAATTTTTTTTATTGCTGCGTTTATTAACAATTTTAAAGCGAAATATTTTTCACAGATACAATCGGTAATGTTTTCTCGGTGGACGTGAGAACAGGTATTACTTATCATTTCACCATTCTACCATTCTACGTTAAATGATATTTGAAATTAATCGTGATATTTATTTGTAGGCAAAATATTAGGCCAGTTTAAGGGTAAGAAATTTAGAATTTTACATTACACTCATTACACTAGTACTATATATTACTTATTATATTTATTATAGGGTTTGCCGGTTCAGTGACTAACTTAGCGGTTGCAAATGGACCATCGTTATTGACCTCAGTCTCAATGGACCGATTTTTACGTATACATGAAATTGGAGCCTCGCGTAAACTTGTAAATAAAGTATACTTAAAACAACGGCTCACTTGTGTGATAGTTGATGAGTCTGAAGGTAAAATCTGACACATATTTTTCTAGACTTAGACTTATCTGTTCTCATATCATCTATTTTTCAATAGACAAAATCATAGGAGAAAGCAAACAAGATGCCGAAAAATATGATTCAGAAGAAGAAAACATTTGGGAAAATATGAAAGAAATTAAACCGAAAAAGAGAAAAATCAAGCACTGATATAGTTATTTAATATTAAGATAAATTATGCAACCTTTATCTGTTGCGTTTGAGCAGAAATCATTAAAATCCTTTTTTTGCCAACCATTCCTTAACTATCAAGCCGTGTCGTCCTTTAATAATTACATGATTATTTGTATGATTAACGTTAATGAAATTTTTCTCTCGGGAATAATAAAAAAGTTCTTTTCGTATGTCGTCGCAGAGAGCCTAGTTGACGAATATGTTAGTAATAGGTTTATTTCGTTAAAAAAACTGAAAATTTGAATTTACTTCGCTATCCCCTTCAATTCTGCCTATTTCTGTCAGTACACGCGTTCTGCCGTTTTTAATGTCTACATAAACTGGCAATTCTTTCATTCGAGTTCGAGAGACGAAATAAGGATATTGAACATATTTTATTAGCTGCTGTTGTACAGGTTGTAGTTGATTTAGTGCAGAATTTTGTTTAATCTCCGAAGCCGATTTCACTACTAATTAGTTTACAAATTAATCGATGAATTCAGACAAAAGGATAATGAATAATTTGAAATATAAAATTACTGTATTTAGGTGAATTTTTGTTTGACTTTGAATGAATAAAACGAGTGAAACTTATGGGAATGAAACGGGAAATCAACATTTTTTGCTTCTGTACGAGACGAGCAGTATACAGTTATTCAAAAATGCGGGAGGCTGATTTAGATATGTTACACAAATTTGAAAGTTGATTTTTCCGATCACTAAATTGGTTCTAACTTTTGGTCTCAAAATTTTTAACTGATTAAGTGACCAAATGGACATCGTAAAGTCAGTGCAGAATTACATTAATAAGATGGTCAATGAAGTAACAGGCATGAAAGTGTTACTTCTTGATTCCGAGACGGTTGGTGTTCATTAAGCATTATTTGTTATCTCAGCCTATAAAACCTATAATTAATAGACCCAATGTCTTAATAGACTCCGATTATTTCGAACGTAATGACCCAATCTAGCCTCTTATCACACGAGACATATCTGGTCGATCGAATCGATAATAAAAATCGCGATAGGATGCGGCACCTTAAATGCATTTGTTTTATAAGACCTACTAGTGAGACCATACAGATGTTGGTCGAAGAACTTAGAGATCCCAGATATGGAGATTATTATTTATGTAAGTTTAATATCGATTTAAAATATTCATCTATTTGACAGATTATGAATTTATTATTTTTATTCTCAGATTTTAGTAACACATTGAGCAAATCATCAATCGAAAGATTGGCTGAAGTAGATGAACACGAAGTTGTTCGTGAAGTTCAGGTATGAACATATTAGTTCGTTATTCACTATTCAATTGCTAACATTAGCTTTTTTTTTTGCTTATTCGTTTAGGAATATTTCGCAGATTATTGTGCGATTAATCCTGATTTCTACTCTTTGAATCTTTCTTTGCCACAATATAGGCTTTATGGTGATTCACAAAACACGTGGGAGAGTAAAACATTTCAGCGCGTTATTGAAGGTGTACTTGCTGTTTTACTTTCCTTAAAGAAGAAACCTTTGATACGTTACGAGAAGATGAGTGTTATGGCAAAAGCACTTGCAGAAGAAGTTCACGTATGTCATATATCTAAACTTTAAACTTACGCGAATTTATATAACTTTCTAAACCTTCAACACCTTTTTTATTTATAGTATAGTATTCAAAAAGAAGGAGAGTTATTTGTCTTCCGTCCGACGGATACTCCGCCAATATTACTTATATTAGATCGTCGAAACGATCCAGTCACACCTTTGTTGTCACAATGGACTTATCAAGCAATGGTTCATGAATTACTTGGTATTCATAACGGTCGTGTGGATTTATCTGATGTCCCTGATATACGCCCAGAGTTGAAGGTTTGTATGTATGTTAGAAAATTTTCTTTTGCTTTTTTGTTTGTTTATTTTCAAAGACTAAATAGAACTTTTTTTCTCCGAAAGGAAATTGTTCTTTCCAGAGATCAGGATCCATTTTACAAAAAAAATATGTATTTGAATCTTGGTGATCTTGGTGCTAACATTAAGTCATATGTTGAGGAGTATCAAGCAAAAACTAAATCAAGCATAAACATTGAATCAATCGCTGACATGAAAAGATTTGTAGAAGAGTACCCTGAATTCAGAAAATTATCCGGTAATGTGAGCAAACACGTAGCTTTGGTTAGCGAATTAAGTCGTCTCGTGGAAAAGGAAACTCTATTAGAAGTCAGCGAATTGGAACAGAGTCTTGCTTGCTATGGGCAGCACAGTAGCGATTTAAAGGTACACGATATATATATTTTTCTTTTTCTTTTTTATTCTTCGAATTTAATAATTGATGGATAAATTTATTTACAGAATTTACAAAAGCTTATAGCAAATCCTAAAATATCAGAAGATAGTAAGATTCGACTAGTTTCATTATATTCTTTGCGGTATGAAAAATCACCAAATAATGACGTTATTTCGTTAATTGAATTGTTACGTCGTAATGGTGTCAGCGAGGACAAAATTTCCGTATGTATTAATTTTGAATTAATTACTTATTATTTTATTATTTAAACATTTAAATCTTTGATTTTTTAACTAGTTTATCGGGTCAATAATGGAATTCGCTGGATCTGATCAAAGACAAGATGATCTATTCTCCAATGAGAGTTTATTATCCTTTGGGAAAAATGTTTTTAAAGGATTGAAGGTTGATATGATTAAAAATTGATTGCCATATTTGTTATATTACTCACGTGACATAAAATATTATAGGGGGTTGAGAACGTATATACACAACATTCTCCACATCTTTCGCAGACAATTGAACTTTTAGTTAAAGGCAAACTGAAAGAAACTAGTTATCCATTTATTGAAGGATCGACTAAAGACAGGTATTGTATTGATTTTGATGAAAATCACATTCATTTGAATAAATCTATATATATTTTTAAAATATAGGCCACAAGACATTATTATATTTATGGTGGGTGGTGTTACATATGAAGAAGCTCGTCATATTGCTCAAATAAATGCATCAGCTGCCGGCTTTCGTGTTGTATTAGGTGGAACTACAGTGCATAATAGTGTTAGGTATGTTTAAAGAACTATCATCCTTTATAAATTACTTGTTTGATTTTTTACTAAATTTCTATTTATAATACTTGATACTTATAAGCTACTTGAATGAGATCCAAGATGCATTTTATAGGTTTCCTTCGGGTGGTGGTACGGGTGCTAGGCTTGCCCGATTTAGTAAACCTCGTAATGGATATTAAATATGACTTTAGACATTAATTTTTGTATATTATATATAATGTAAATCTAACAAGATATGAAGTAGAATGATTTTAATATTTATTTGATAAGCTTATAATGTTATTATTGTTAAATTAATATATTATAACCAATCTTTTTATTTATATTAAATAGATCAAGAGATTATTTCTGTATAATTTCTGGAATAATCAAAATATTTTATAATACAAAACTTTGCTAAATATATTTTGCTTCAATGAATTGATCTGATGAAATTTTAACATTGGGAACAAAACTTTGATCAAGTTTAAACGTAAGATTTTTTAAAGATTTTAAATCTCGTTCAATTACCTTGATATTGTCTCTCGTTTCCTTTAACAATTAAAAAAAACAATCGAATCAAATATAAATTATTAAATATATATGCATAAAAATTTTACAAATATTCTAAAGTACAGACCTCGATTGATTTTTGTATTTTGGATAAGCTATCAGAAGTTTGTGTTAGAGTACGAGACACATTAGTTAATTGGTCATTTGAATTACCAAATAATTCTTGTCGTAATTTTTGACTTGATTCATCTAATAAAGATAAAATTCGGTTTATCAATGTTGAATTGTGATAGACTGATAGGGTAAAGAAATTTATATACTTAATTCTTTTTGTAGAGGAGTTCTTGAATATGCATATATATTAAATATATAATATACATATATATATATAAAAAATAAGAATGAATAAAAATTATCAAAGAATTAATTTCTACTAAAAAATATCTTACATGTTAAGATTAGAATCCATCTTAATTTACTATAGTTGTTCTTATTAGAAAACAGTATTCCCAAAATTATTTTATCAGAGAATAACAGAATTATAAATGATCTGCATCGCTAATTTTACCATACTCCACCTATATATTAGGTAGTACTAGCCCGGAATCACTATATTGTGAAAACTTGCAAAGAATTAATTAAAAACACACTGTTTCTTAAAAAAGTAATTTTATATAATAAAAATCTGTTTTGAAAAAATGAGTACTTATAAAGATAAAGTTGTGAATATATAAAGAGTGACTATATGGAGAAACTGTATATTTTTGCATTTTCTGTTAATTTACTAGAGGTTTTAAATATCAATTTTTATTAAAGTCAATTTTTACAAAAATAAATATGAAAAGCAAAAAATAGCATATAAACCTCTAAGTAAATTTGTAAAAAAAAGTATGTATTTTATAGAAATTATGATTTTAAAGCTAAATAATAATATCATAAAAGCATTATATAGTTACTAAAATCATTCTACTGAGAGATTAGGTAATTCAGATTTACTATTGGCAATATAATAGAAAGGTAACCTCCCCAGTAACACCATCAAAAATTCACTATCACGTGATTTTTGGCCCGCATTACGGAAATGCGGATGCTTATGATGAATATTTTCCACTGTCACTGATAGTGAAAAATTTGATGGGAAAATCTTTGATAGGTTCATTGACGGTAATTCCTTTCACAATTGAGTCTACTTGCCTAGCTGAGTTCAGTATATACTTCGTTAATTGAGCATCGAAAAAATTTTATCAGTTATATCAGTTTTTTTCATTACACTTTTTTAATTTTATTAACTTTATTTCTTTGTAAAGAAGTACTGAATAGAATTTATTTATTGTTTTTATGTATTTGTATAATTTCTAACAATACGAAATAAAGCATAGTGTGAAATAATTTTTTTTCATGTTATTGTATCATTGAACGCAACTTTTCCTCTTCGTCTTCTCTTTCTTTAAGCCTTTTTACCATTTTTTATACATTGAAGCTTATCAAAGCTAGTAAGTACCGTATATCACGGGGCCCATGCAGTGATTAGCTTTGGACACAATTTTTAACTTTAAAGGTTTTGGATATAAGAAAATTGTCCAAAACCTGTCCAAAACTATCCAAAATTGTCCAAAATTGTCCAATTGCTCAACACTGCCCCCATGTATAGTAGTACCCCTCAAAAAAGAAATAATCCAACAAACATCGTAGGTGTGACGTATAACAATACCTAATTATTTTATAAGTTTTAAACACCTTCAATTAGTAGTAAAAATTCGCGTAATAGGGGGGGAGTACAGGGCCAAACCTCCGAAATTTGCAAGATACCCGCCCGCAATATACGGTAATCATTTTAGACATAGATTCAAGCAATCTGTACACGAAGTTTATGTGTAAACCAAAGTAGACTTAAAACTCACAACTAGCAGAATTTGGGTAAATTGAATAAAGATGGTGAGCAATAATAGGTAAAGAATCAGGGTTCGGTGACATATGGTACTAAAAATCATCTTTTTAGCAGGCGATCCAATGAGAAACTACGTAACCGTCGTAACGGTTTACCATTTCTCTAGTGTTAAATTTATCCAACCGGGGGTCCAGGTAGTGTCCAGGTTCTTTATCCTAAACCCCTATATAAATAAGCCGGTCAGTTTTTTCAGAGTAATCGTCACGTAATTAATACAGTTGCGGCCTAGTGAACCCCCGGTCTATTTTAAGGACTCCTGAAAAAAAATTTTTTGATTTGATCGGCAAATTAGTTCAACGTGTCAGTATTTTTGGGAAGTCGTGTGGCTCACGTGAGTGATTCAATCTCACATAAGTGTCAACTCTTAAGAAAAGCAGTACGCGTTTTATTTACAAAAATGTCAGGTACAGGAAAACATTCCCTTTGTTCCTTTTTTCTTGACGCGTTTTTCTTTCATTAAATGTTACTACACGCTTAAAGGATATAGCAACAACTATACTACGTACTCTTCAACCGAACAGTCTTACGGTGGAGCGTACAGTGCAGGCGAATATAGTAACGTTACTAGCGGCGGTGGTTTCATAAAATCTGAGGAAGGTTCAAGCTTTTCCAAGGGTTCACAGGTATATAAAATAAGTAGTTTCCACTTTGTCAAAATAGTGCTTCACATTATTGTTTGCACTAAACTAGGGAAATGAACGTCGTAACAACCATAATCTTAGGCCAGTAACTATCAAACAATTACACGAGGCAACTCCGGTTAACGATAATTCCACCTTAATAGATGGGCTTGAGCTTCGTGTTGTATGTATTGAGCGACTGTGATTACGATAGATCAAAATTTAATGAATCTTTGCTATTAGGTCAAAATTGTCGGAGTTGTTAAAGAAAAGACACCTCGACATCAAGGCATTGATTATGTGGTGGATGATGGTACTGGATTCATCGATGTAAAAGTATGGCATGATGATAGTGAAGAAACTAATGTCAATAAAAAAATTGATATCGCGTAAGATTAAAAATATTTTTTTTTAAAAAAAAAGATATCAATTTACTAAATTTGAATTTATTTATTGTAGTATCAATACCTATGGCAAATTTTTTGGAAATTATAGATCGTTTAGCAATAAAAAACACGTTGCAGCACATGTTGTACACCCTATAGTTGATCATAATGAAATAAGTTATCATATGGCTGATGTTATTAGGGCACATTTGTACTTGACCAAAGTATTGAACAATCAATCGAATAATCAAATGGTAACAAAATATTTACATAAAAGTATTATGATCATCCAATAATATTTATTTCATAATATATCCTTACTAAAACCTATTTTATTTATAGACATCAACCAGCTCCACGTACGAATACCAATCAAGAAGTTCTTCTGGCCATGGTAATCAACAATTACATAAAGATATATTTGATCTCATAAGCAAGCAAAATAATACTCAAATTGGAGCGAATGTCGATGAAATTGCACAACAACTCGCATTCCAATATGGTTCTGATCAGAACGTTAGGTGAATAAACAATTTCTTATAATGTTAATATTATAAATTATTAATAACTCATAGGGGTTGACAATGATATAAAATAGGTTTGCTATAGAAGATATGATTGGAGACGGACAACTTTATGTCACGAGCGACGATAATCATGTGAAAACAACGGGATATTAAGATTGTAACGAGCTAAAATTTGTCGGTATAATACAGTGTTCATAACTTTGGAATTTTTTCAGTATCCATTGAGTAGATTCTACTCTTTATTGAAAACATGATATTCTTTCTAGCTAATAAATTTAATGAAAAATAATAATAACGCGTAAATAGACAATATACTATCTAACGTCCCAAATAAGATCAATAAATGAATCTTGTGAAAATTTAGTGAATTGCAATATTTTTTCTGTGTATTAAACTTTCTAAGAGCTTTAAATTATACATTAAATGTTTTTATCACAACAATCGATCTTTCATTATATAAAAAAAAACTGCTAATTATTAAAGATCATCGTTAAATTCTTCAGAATCCAAAGTAGAAACGTTAAACGAAGGGAATTTATTCCAAACTGATTGAGGTATCATAGCGAGCGTAGCTTGAGAGAGCAAAGATGGTGGTGATGGTGCTGGCGAAACCCCGTCTTTCGAAAATCTGGTAGAAGAATGAATATAATCAGTTGGTGGTAGTCGGTCTTGACGCGTACTAACTTGCTCTTGATCAGATATACCATTAAGCTCCTTTGAAATAGAATCGTTAAATGATTCAAAAGTGCTTATAGAGTCTTGATTGTAGTTCTCTTTATCTAATAAATCGTAAATTTGATGAAACCCACACTTATTCTCAGATTGAGAACAACAATGAAAATCAATTAGATTCTCGTCATCAATTATACAATTGGTATCTTTATTCAAGTTAATTTCTTGAAGAATATTTCCTTTTAATAATTCTGCATTCGCATAAATTTTTTGTTTTGTTTGATTCTCATTTTCAAATTGAGCCATAGATGGTGTTTTTTTATTCGTATTAACTTCTTGCATCGCATGATCCTCTCTTTCAATGAGCTCTTCTTTGTGAAAGTTAATTATTTCGTCTTCCCATGAATAACAATAAGAGTTATTGTCCTGTATTCTATTCTTTAGATACACTTTAATATGAAGGTTCTCACCAAAAATTTCACAATTATCTGCATCATCTCCAATATTATCAACAGAATCGTTAAGTTTATCCTTTTCTTGGTCACCTTCTATAATCATATTGTCTTTAATGGAAATTTCGTTTGTTACATTTTTGTTTCCTTCTTCAATAATACTCATTTCATTATGGTGTGGATTATTCAAATATTCATTTTCATTGGCCGCATTATTACGATGAGATCCGTCAACGTGACAGGATAAGATATTTAAGGAAGAATTCTTAACCTGAGGCTCTTTAATAGACGAGTTATTATATCGAAATTCCTCAACTTGCTCGTTACTATGTAAAGATTCCTCATTCAGGTTCAAAGAATCATTAGGCTGTGGACTGCTGTCCCGCATAGTGTCCAATAAATTCTCTGCATCTGTAAATATCGTTCGGGATTTAGTAGGCGTATTTCCAACTTCCAAATCAAAATGTGATGTATTAGACGCGACTTTTGGAGAAATGGTAATGAAAGAATCATTTGGTTCGATAGAGAAGTTCGAAAGATGATAAGACAAAGTATCATGTGGCAAATCTTGTAAATTAAAACGGGAAGTAACTAAAGAGGAATCGCAATCTATATTATTATCGAAATTTATAGAATTACTATTTCTGTTGATAATTTTTTTTTGTTTAGATGCTTCCGAAATTTCGCGATTCGCTTCTTTGATTTCCTTGGCACCCTCAAATATTTCATCATCCTCACTATTTGAATCAACTTCTCGAATTAACGTGCTATTATCATTATCTATAATACATTATTAATTTTTATTTTAATGCACACCAAACTTCAAAAATAAATTATTATACATACTTTGCGACATTTCAGATTTATTCGAAAGGCTGAGTTCACTAATCTGTTCAATGAGACTATAGAACTCTGTCAATTGACGTTGATTTCTCAATAATTCATCGTTGCTTTTTCTCGAGGAACGAATAGATTTTGTTGGAGTTTTTTCGCGGTTATCTTTAGATTCAACCTCTTTTGCTTTTTCAGGATTTATATAATTAAAAAACATCGGTATTTTTTTATTATATTTTTGAATTTCTTCCAACTGTCTTGCCTTACTTTTCTTTGGTTTGTATTTTTGCAAAGCAATTTTTCTTTTGGAAGATAAATCCGAATTACCCATGCGACTTGTTCCGACCGAACTAGTTATCTGCATTTTCTTGGTATCAACTTCCAAAGGATGGAAGAAACGAGATATTATTGTCTGATTCAAGGAATTTTGATGTCCACATGACGAAGATAGTCGTCTTACTCTAGTTTCGTTAACCTGTCTGCTTAGACGCTTTTGTGTTTTGCGTGTTTTCAGTCCTGTCGAAACGTTATTGTCTCCACATTCGATTTCTTTTTTCTTTGAAACTCGTGCCATTATTCACATAAGAACGCGACAGAAAATTTAAACAAATTTATATAATTACCGAAATAGGAAATCAAATCTGCAATAATATCAGATCTGCAATCTACTTTGCAATCTAGAAAAATTTTATCTCTATCATGTATTCTCAAGCTCGATGTTTAAATTATCTGATAATAAATCAACGATTTGGTTTAACTCTTAATCGTCCTTTTCGGACAAGTTTTAATGTATCACGGCTACAAGTGTTTCAAAATTATGCTTCAACTAGTATTGTAGAGAGTTTTTCAGAATTATCAGATAATGTTTCAAAAAAAGGCAAAAAACCTAAAAAATCTAATAAGAGTCCAAAACAAAAAGCGAGAACTTCCGAAACAGAAAATAAAGAGAAAAAACTTCGAAAGAAAAAAGTATCTTTATTATCAACAGAAAAAGTAAATGAAATGTCTAACAATTTACTCCAAGATTTATGTCAAAGTAAAAATTTATCCGAGAAGTTCTCATTAAAACCTCTAACCGCTATTGAAAACATTGACGATATTATCGAATCGTATAAACCTGTAAAAGAATTTCTAACAAGCATTGAATTTCGGGAATTGGTAAATAAAATAGATAAAGCTTTTATCGTATCACAACTCAAAGCATTCCTTAAAAAGCGAGATTTAGATTATAAACTAAAGAAAGTTAAGTTAATTGAAAAATTAATTTCCGAAGTTTGGAAAGTTGAAATAAAAGTTGAGGAACAATGTTAGTGATTCTCAAAAGTGGAATATTTTTTCTTTGTCGTAATTAACTTATTATATCCTTATATCTTTTATAACATATTTAGATATACAAGCTAAGCCAATTGATTTATTTTTCATGCTTGGACCAGGTTGATCTTATGTATTTACTTTAGAATAATCTTTATTTTGATATCTTTCTAAATTGTTGGAATCGATTTTTACACTGCCGTCATTTAATATTTTGATTTCAAGATGGGAAAACTTTACGGGAATTAGAAAGTCAATCCAATGTTAAAATTAAAATTGACTTAAAAAATTTATCATACACAATTGCTGGTTCTCCGCAAGATATTGAAAAAGCCAAAGATATGATCAAAAGAGTTACGGTATTTATTGTAAGGCAATTATTTTTATTGTTATATTTACCATAGCTAATTTTGATTTTTATTGTCTTTATAAGTCTTATCAGTCCGTTACTATGGAATTACCTTCTCACATTAAAAATAATAATAAGAGTTTGCAAGAGATTCCGTTTGTGCAAGATATCTGCATGTCATTGAGAATATTTATCGAGGTTGATACAAACAAACAGGTACTTTGTTTCAAATTATAACATCTTTTATTTCTTGAAGTTCTTATAAATTCTGTTATTTCCGCATCAAATTGCTATACAGTTGATTATTTCAGGACCATTGCAACAAAATATCAAGGAAGCATCAAGATTACTTAATTTTGCTTGGCACCAGGTAAAACTCATCACTTTAATTAATATTGTATGGGTAAATTATCTAATAAATATTTTATAATATTTTTCAAGCCTGATCAAAATGAAACAGATTTGCTCTTGTGTAACGACACAGCGAATTTTAATGAATACAGTTTTTTCCCTATTCACGATTCCGAGACCATGTCTTTATATAACCGATACCTTAATTGGCATCGAGTTGGTAGAGTTGGTCCAAAAGTGGTGCGTGCTTGAAATACGGATCTATCCTATTTAAATCATAACATGTCATTATAGTAATCTTAGTGGTAGTTCTAATTTTTGATAGGCCAATGAGTCAACTTTAAGTGATCGCTTACATATTTTATACGAAAGCAAAAGGTAACTATGTCTATCAATTTAATTATTTCCATTATGTTGCGTTTATATATTATATTTCTGAATCTAGTTTCTCGGAGGGGACTTCTTCACGGTTTCTTAATATACAAAACAATTTAACAAACTTGAACAAACTCGGCATTTTTCTGTTCGATTTTTTAAAAGAGAGCCAACCAGCTAAATCGAAATTTGAAATTTGTTCCGTGTAAGATTTACAACACGTGTTTTTATATAATATGCTTTTTATAAATTTTAACGAATTTTCATTAGATTTGGATATAATATTTTTCATGACGAGAAAAATGTCGAAAAAAATTTATTTGTTCCCCCATTATCTGACAATTTCTCTTATAAAATGCTTGAAGAGTGGATCAAAGAAAATAGTCATTTAAGAACCTTCCTTCCTAGGTGATTACTATGTCATGTCTCAATTCATAACACAATTGTTATTAATTAATTGTTTAATATTCAGCTACCCGAATTCAAATTTCTTGAATTCTTTGAAGATGCCTATAATTAAATTTCAAGAATTTGTTCAATTTGATTATATTCCGTTAAAATCAAATTCTTATTCATCTTACGAAAGATTAAGTATATTGCTAGAGGTTAATGATTTTGCATTTAAATTTAAAGAAGCGACTTTGTGTAAAGAACGGTTATTAGCCGATCTACTATTGATGGATTGGTAAGACTGTTGAAGATAATGACATTTCGCTGCTAATTATTTGATTTTAACGTTATTTATAGTCCAACAGATTTACGATTGTCTGCAATGATTAAAGAATCAGTCGATGACTCACTGAACACGAATGATTTTATAAAAGAATGTTTATATAAAAGGTATTTCTAACATAACAATGATGCGAGGTATATATCATTAATCCTTAAATTGTTATTATAGTGCTCGAGATATTCTATGTCCTAAAGAATATGTATTCAGTCTCAATAGTAAAGGAGAAAAAATAAAGGTTCCGTATAATCTTGAACGTATGAAGTTATATACAACTAGTTATTATGATCATAATGGATTTACTCTCACAATAAGCAAGATTTCAGAACTAGAAACAAGTATTGTCAGGCCAGAGATTAAGGTAAAGTATTTAATCAACTTCTATCATTTTATAAAAATTTATTAACTTTTGTTCTTTTTTAGTTGATTTATAAACCAACAAGTATATCAAACTCACAAACTATTGAAAACTTATTTAATTCCTCTTCTGAATTAAATAAAAAAGAGGAAAATGAGAATCACGAACTTACTTCGGAAACAAAAATTAGTAATGAAAAGAATGATAGTTATTCAGAACAATGGAAAATATTCATTTTAACTTCATTAGAAATTATTAATGATATAGGAAAATAAATCATTAGAACGCACCCTTATTTTTATGAATAATTCAATTTTTGATTGTTGTGAATAGCTTGAAACAATTAACTTATCCTTCATTTTTAACAATTTTCACTCGTTCATCTTTATTACGCGTGTTACGAGTTATCGCATGGATCAATTTATATTTTTCGGAAGACAAATTGTAACAAAATAAAGAAATTACAAATATCGAAGAACATTCCCAGCGCAGCACAAGAAAATTTTTTATACTTTAGCAGCGAAATACATCACATTGTCTGTAGCGTGTAAGATTTATGAATCAAAACCTATTTACTATCTATCTGATTATTTTTGGGATAAAATATCTCTCTTAATTATACATTATTTAACCGGTATCGTTAAGAGAGAATATTATAAAACTTACAGTATATAACTTCTTGGCGGGTATTTATAGAAAACTTTAAAGTAATTGTCGCTGAACTCCATTTGTAATCATAAAGATAAATATTATAATTATAAAAATTAATATAACTATAAAGAAAAGAAGATTTATAATTAATTAAATGTTAATTATGATTCTTAGTTTTTTATATACATACCTCCTAAAATCATTCTACATTGAGCAAGAATCTTTGACGATTTTTTTTCAAATTCAACTTGATTTTTCAACTTCTTTAACTGTATTTCAAAATTAACAAAAGAAAGCAAGCACATAAATTATATAGTAAATGCTAATAATTTAATATATGTAGTTATTAATTATACATACAATTTCTTGATGATGTTTTAATTTTTCACTTTTATCATGAATACGTGTATGAATTGAAGTTAATTTATCAGCTATTTCTTGAGTAGTTTGATCTGCCAAATTAATAGTTTCTTCCATTTCTTTTGTTGATCTTGACTTAGTCATCAATATGTTTTCATCCAAATCCTAAAATTAAATTATCTTTTAATTTAAGATCATACATACAATCAAAGCGATTGCCATTTTTCTTTTAAAGACTACCTTTGCACGTCTGTCCAAATCACGACATTTATGTATATTTGAATCAAGTTCCTTTGCTTTTCGTATAAGTGTTTCCTATGAAATTAGAATAAGTATTACGTTAACTTTCCCTTAATAAAAATGAAATTTAAAAATTAGACTCACGCGCAAATTGTCAATGTTATTTTCATATTGACTACAACGATTTGCTAACTCTTTAATTAATTCAACAAAATCTGTAGGACCAATATCTTCATCTTCGCTATCAATTTCTTCATCTTCACCAGATTCAGAATCTGATGATTGTACTGTAATCGAGTCGTTAAATGATTGATTCAATACGTAATAAATTAATCTCATACGATGAAACTTACCAGAGGATTTTTTCGTATCACCAAAAAATCTTACAGTATTTAAAAATTTTCTTTTTTCCTCTAAAAAATAAGTTCCAAGAGTAAAATTTTCTTGTCTCGCTTGGATTTTAAATATGTTCATATGTTTATCTAAAGTATAATAATTAACTATGATATATATTTATTTAATTATTTCGCTTATCGGATGTTTATATAATCTAATAATTAAATTATATAATAACTCACCAGTGTCATTTTCTGCTATAAGATGTATATCATCAATTGAGCAAAGTTTTTTATATTCAACATCTTTAAACCTGTCAGACGCACAATCCTTAAATGTCTTAAATTTTTTATTTTGATTCATCGATTCTCTTCCACCAAAATTTTCTTTTTCTTCTTCAACAAAGTCATTATTAATACCTTCTACTGTTAAATTACTTTCATCATCAGAAAATTTTTTAAAATGTTCTATACACCAAACGTGTTCTTTAGAATTATTGTTATCGTCAACAATATGATAATATAAAACAAAATTTTCTATCTTAAAAACTAAAAAATTTTCAACCTCATTTTTTTCTGTTAAATTTTTAAAAATAAAAATTATTGGAAAATCAATAAATTTTGGTATACTTCCCAATTTCATTTGTACAGAAAGTCTTTTTTCAGAATCGGTTTGATATAAAGAAGGAGGTTTAGAATGTTGTATTATACTTGTAATTTGATCATAAGGAATTGACTGTAATAAATTTGATTTATTATTCCTTGATGGTGAATAAAATGTAGCTACATTGTCAAAATTCATAATATTGCGAAATGATGGTGATTTTATATTAAAAGATTTTTGCTTTTTTTTTTTTAACAATTTACTATGTTTAATATTTGTAGGTGAAGTAGCAAAGGTAGTACTTGTTTGCGATTTAATCGTTGATGTTCTTGGGGACATGGATACAGGGGAATGAAATAATATGCCATCTTCGCCAAAGTATCCATCATTGTTATTACTATTAATATTATTGATTGGTTGCGTGGTTAAATTTATTTTTGGCTGTAATTTTCTTAAGCGACTAAAAGAATTATTAATATTGTGGTTTTGTGGTGATAATTTTTTTGAAAGATCTGGCATCGATGCATTACTATTACTTAGCAAAGAAAAATGATGTCGAGGTGTTGAAGGAGTAGATGATGATTCTGCCGATGATAAATATATCGTCGGTATCTGATTCATTTTATTGTTTTGTGGTGTAATATCTGTACGAGTATCAATCACAATATAAAATATTTTTCAGCATACAAAATATACAAAGTGCAATTTTTCAGACTCTTAAAAAAACAAGGCCTACCGTGTTCGTCCGCACTAGATCCACCACTATCAGAAATACCTTTTACATTAAGTTGTCTTTGGAACCTTGGTATTTTAGCTGTTATATTACGAACAACTCTTTTTTTCTTACCAGAAGAAACCGCATTATGTCGAGTATTTGAAGAAGTTGGGCTTGATAATGCACTTGCCGCATTATCAATATTTGTATTAACATCAGTATTAATCGTTATCGTAGGTAATGATTTTGACATTAAAGCTGTGATAGATTTTTCACGATTGATATGTGCAACCAAACTGGATTCCAAAATAATATTAGGTGGCCCGTGCGTAAGTACAACATGAAGTATCTTTTTTTTTTAAAAAAAAAAAAATATTTGGGATTATAATGTTGAAGAAAATGTACGTTTCAACACAGTTCAAATTTCCGTTTTACTTTAATAACTAACAATAAAATTGGTATTTCATAATTTGGTATTATAGCAAGCCAAAAAATGCACGCTCGAAAAGAGCTTTACAAAAACGAGAACCAAAAATTGAAGAAAATGTAAAGAAAGCAATTTTTATTCGAAGTAGCTCAACAAATCAAATAGTGAATGAAGCATTATCAGACTTAGTAAGTGTAAATGTTCTATTTTTATATTCAATTTTATTAACCTCTCCATTTTTTCTCTTTTTTATCCTTATGGTTTATATCAAAATGGATAATAGTGTAAATTAAAAAAACCGGACGCGATAAATTTTACTAAAAAGAATAACACAATACATCCATTTGATGACGACACTTCATTAAATTTTTTTTATGAAAAAAATGATACTTCATTGTTTGTTATTGGTTCTCATTCAAAAAAACGTCCGAACAATTTAACTTTTATTAGAATGTTTGATGGTCAAATACTCGATATGGTTGAAGTTGGTATTGAAAATGCTAAACCGTTAAGTGAATTCAAGGTAAACTTATCTTTAACTAAAATAACTAAAAGAAATTGCTTTTTCTAGTAATTATTAATTAGAGTACTCACAATACTCACACAAAATATGATATACTTTCATAGACTTCAAAATGTGCTATTGGAATAAAACCTTTGTTTTTATTTGTCGGTGATTTATTTGAAAATTCTTTAGTATATAAAACTTTTAAAAATATGTTACTAGACTTTTATCATGGCCAAACTGTGAAGAATATTAATTTATCAGGTTTAGAACACGTTATCTCCGTTACAGCTATTGATTCTTCAGAACAATCAAATGATCCTAGAGCTATGCCAGGAATTATTTATTTTAGGGTATATACCATACAATATAAAAAATCTGGTGAAAAAACCCCGAGAGTTGAGTTAGAAGAAATGGGTCCAAGTTATAATTTTAGAATTAGAAGATTTAAATTTGCTAATGATGATGTTTATAAATTTTCCACAAAAGTCCCTAAAATTAATAAGGTATTTTTTTAGAGTAATGTTTCTTCTTAAAAATGATGTAATGAAAAATTCTAATACGAATGTTTTTACTTTATTTATTTTTTAGCCAAAGAAAATCAAAAATATTGATGTTAATGAAATGGGTGATAAAATTGGTCGTATTCATCTTGGCAAACAAGATTTAAGCAAATTACAAACAAGAAAAATGAAAGGTCTTAAACGCACTACTGATGATTATACAGAAGATGATCTTGAAGAGATGGAAGACGTTGTTCCTTCAATCAAAAAGCAAAAGTCCTCTTAACATTTTTTTTCGGTTATTAGCATAATTTTTTTTTCATTCGATAACATAAACATAGAAAGCAAAAACTGAATAAAAAATCCTAAATAATAGCAGGTAGTGATACAAGTTGAAAAAAAATTTTTTTTTTAAGCGATAAAAGGAATCATAGCTTTACGATTTTTTGGATAATCCTTAAATTCTTTACAGTAACTTTTATGTTTCTTTAATGCCCATAGAAACATCTGAGTAGATCCTGCTGCAAGAAATAGCCAAGCTTCAATACAATGAAAAATTAATTATTAGTAGTTTCAATCATTAAAACAATTCACAATATATCAGAATTTTGATAATTACCTGCAATTGATTTGGTTAAAATGCTAACAATAAGCCACACAATTGTCTCAAATAAATAATTGGGACAAGATACCAAATTGAAACCATATCCATAAGGAATTTTACGAACGCGAGTTCCCGGCGGGCGAAGATTGCGCAGAATAATGTGAGTATAAAAATTAGAAATTTGTGCCCACTATAGAAAGATTAAAAGAGTTCATGCGCTGGATTCTTCATAATGTAATTGTACTACGAAAAAATGACATAAATAACATACAGCAAACACTCCTGCACAAGTCCATAAAAGCCATTCTTCGCGTTCACTGCCATGTATTCCAGCAGCATTCCAGGGACCATACACCCAATAAGCCAAGTTTATACCACTAAGAGCATGATAATGAAATGAATTTTTGAATACATTAAAGAAAGGCATAGTGCTATGTGAGAAACGGTGAACGAATAAAGTTTCGATTTCTCGTTTGATAAAATGAGCCATAATCATATAGTACGCGATCCTATTAAAGCAACGATAAAAGAAATAAGACATGATATCAAAGCTAATTTAACTAATTTAATTTACTTACGTTTGCATTTCGCTGTGTCTAAATTCTTCTCCATAAATTTGAGACTTGAAATAATAGAATATTGGATGGATTAAAATAGGCCCAAAATATTCAATAAGAAATACAGTTCGCCAACTGATTTGTGGACCTTTAAAATTTAAATTAATATTAAATAGTAATGAATAATTCGTTTTGAAAACTTTTTTATTATTCACCTAAATCTTTAAACAAAATAGAATCTCCTTCTTTAATGTCATAATCTTTTAGAAGTTTTCCTTCCTGTAAAACCAATTGGTTAATAGCTAAACGCTGGCGGTCAGGATAATATTTTGGTACTTCTTTATATAGAGTTTGTTTAAGCTGGTCAACAGTCGCGTCAGCTGGTATGTTAATCGTTAGAGGAAATTTTTGGGATTTCCCCGAACGAGAAACAATCTTTATTTGCATTTTATAAAGAAAAGAAGAAAAAAAGGATAAGGATAAGAACGAGTAAAATTCCACATGCCTTATAATTTTTTTTTTGGATGTAGATTGAAATAATTCGCGATCTCGTGAAAAGGAATAGATCTACACAATTATATGGATAATTTGTAATAAAAAATAAATACACATTTTAGGTAATAGAAAAACGGAATTTAACAAAAGCAAAGCTACAAAGAAAAATTAAAATGGTAATTCAAAATTGCGTTTATGAAGTTTTTTCTTTTGCTAAAATTCCTCCTTTACTATAGGTTAATTTATCCCTTTATACAACAACTGCAGTAATACTTCTCGATAGTGACGGTAATAGAATACTTGGAAAATATTATGGTACTAAGAACCCGTATCCTACAATAAAAGAACAAAAAGTTTTCGAAAAAGGATTGTTTGAAAAGACCAGAAGGGCTAATGGTAAATTTTTAATTGAAAATTCTTCAATAAACTATTTTATAAGATTTTTAAATTTTATTTATTTAAATTTTCGGTAGGCGAAATCATCCTTTATGATAACCAAGTTGTTCTTTATCGTAATAGCATTGACGTTTTTTTTTATGTTGTTGGGTCTGCGGAGGAAAATGAACTTATTTTGAGTAGTATTTTAAGCGCATTCTATGATTCCATATCAAGTTTGTTAAGGTAAATAATATGAGTCTTTTATTCATCGAAAGATTTTAAAATTTTATTTTTTCTAATGAACAGGCATCAGGTCGAGAAAAGAACACTTGTAGATAATCTCGATCTAGTTGTTCTTACTTTGGATGAGACAATAGACGATGGGTGAGAGCGAAATAAAAATTGAAGTTTTTTAACTTCGAAAGAAATTTTAACGTTTCCTTTCACTTTTTAGAATTGTTTTAGAAACTGATTCGAACGTAATTGTTTCTCGAGTATCCCGTCTTCGCACTGACACAACGGATATTCCTATTACAGAACAAACTTTTATTCAAGTATATAATACTGCAAGAGAAAGAGTTGCTGAGAGATTGCTAAGAGGAGTATAATATGTAAAATGTTCGTGCTAATATAATAGAACTTGTATAATTTTATTTTTAAAAGACGAAAATTTCCCCGATTTTAATCTTGGAATATATTATGATAATCTCTCTTTACCGTATAAATTACATACCTCTATAAAAATAACAAATAAAAAAAATGGTTTAGATAGATAAATAGATCAAAGCAATTTTCCTTATACGCACCTTGCTTTCATTTGTAAAACCAATTGAACCTTTTTCCTAACAGAATCCTTAAATTTTTTCTGTTCAATTTCCATTTTAATACGTTGTCTTTTTAAAAAAGGTTTTTCATAATATCTATTTCTTCTAACTTCTTGACGGATTTTATTTGAATTAAGTATAGTCCATAATTTTCTATAACCAGCCATAACATTATTTCCTACTATAACAGTGCGACCTGCTGTAGTACTTTTATCGCCTTCTTTTGGTGCAGCTATTTGTTGAACTCTTGAATGCATAACAATTGGCGCTCTTTTAAATGGTGTTGGGATTTGTTCCGAACTTTTCGTATGTTTTGAACGAAGTAGAGCTAAAGGACGTAATATAAGCTGTTGTTTTTTGAGAATATTGATTAACATAATTAATATTACAAGAATGTTAATTCGAGTGTGAAATTATTTTTTATCGTACACGTGACAGATTTAGATATAAGATGAATTATAAAAACTGCCAACAAGGAGAGGATTACTAAGAAACATTTTGACCATTTTGTATACCTTTCATAACCGCCGTACAAGGATACAAAATGCCAATAACACCCACATATAAATGTGTTCTTCTTGATATTGAAGGAACAACAACACCTATTTCATTTGTTCATGATCGTTTATTTTCATATGTTAAAAATAATTTAGTTAATTTCCTGAACGAAAATTGGAATTCACTCGAGTTACAAGAACAAATTCAATTATTAAGAGAACAAGCAATGAAAGATGTGAACAATAATTTATCTGATGTAATTCTTGTTCCAGAGGTACAACAACAAGGAAAAAAAACTAATGAAGAAGAAATTAAAAAAGCTATTATACAAAATATTCAATGGCAAATGAAAATCAATAGAAAAATAGGCGCGTTTAAATCATTCCAAGGATTTATGTGGGAATCAGGTTATGAATCAGGAGAACTAAAAGGAGAAATATTTGATGATGTATTAGATGCATTAAAAAAGTGGAAAGAAAGTGGAATTAAAATATATATATATTCATCTGGCAGCATTTCAGCACAAAAGTCTTTATTTAAAAATTCTGATAAAGGTGACTTAACAGAATATATTGATGGTTATTTCGATACTTCTATTGGAAGTAAAATTGAAAAATCTAGTTATGTGAATATTGCTAAAGAAATTCAATTGGAACCTAGGGATATCTTATTTCTCAGTGATAATGTTAAAGAAATAATTTCTGCCAAATCTGTTTGTTATCAAGCTGCTATTATTGAGCGTAAAAACAATATGCCTTTGTCCGATGATGACCGTAAAAATAATATTATTTTTACAGATTTTCTTCAAATATTTTCTTATTTGTTTTTATAAACACGTAAAACACTAGTATGTCACATGTAATCCCATAATCTTATAATTCTTTAATATTATTTAGCCTGATTGGAAAATTTTCATTATGCTAAATGCTAAATCATTACAATATGTGTAATTATACTGCAAAGTTTGTCAAGATAACTTGCAGTTTCCATGGCACATTATATTAATTGGCAGGGTATCTGAGAGCTGTAACACTATATCTGTTGTTCCAGATGTTGTTTTAGCTTATTTCACATCTGCTACAAATAAATTTACTTATATATATTTTCATTTTTTATCTCATAAATATAAGTAATCTTTAAAAATTTATATTGTACATCATTATATTTTTATATATTATATTATCTTAATACTTATATAATATTTGCCAGTTATAAAGAATATTATTTATTATTTTTAAGTTTCATTCATTCTGAAAAGTTAGTTATAATTTGAAATATATGTATAGAAAAAATTCAAAAAAGCAATTTGCATATACTTCAGTAAACGATATTTATAAAGTATCTATTTTATTATTACTATATAAAATTTTTTACTTGTTTATTTACTTTATTTTCTAATAATATTATAATATTTTGTTGAAGATATATAATACCCTTAATTATCATGGGAATATTGAAAAAATATATATATATTGTTTATAATTAAATACAAACGAATGATATGATCTGATTTTTTTTTATGAATATACATGTTAACCTTATATATACAATTAAAGGACAGTTTATATACTTTTATTTTTATTTGTGTTTTTGTTTATTATTTTTTAGAGGTGTTACATCTGAAATTAAAGAAATAAATGATTTGTCACATCACTCAAGAATATAATGGTAGGCTATAAATAAATTCATACAACTACTTGCTTGAGTAGTTTAATCGTTGCTTTCATCCCAAGAAGTAATCCAGGCATGATAAAGAATATTTGGAAGTTGAAGAATATCCGTCTTTCTCTTATGGCCATGACGCAACTTTCTGAATTGCTGGTTTACAACGTAGCTTCGAGCAACTCCTTCTGGAGAAACAAAGTCAACTGCGGCTTTGACACAGCTCGTATAATTACAAACTTGATGTGCACATCCTGCGGGAACAAAGACGACATCACCAGGGTTTTGGAATACTCTAATATTAAAACAAAAAAGTCTCTTATAAAATGAGTAAAAAAAAAGATAGAGAATTCTACAACTTACCTCCATCCCGTAACACCCTCTTCGGAAGCCAATCGACTTCTCAGTTCTTTGTCCAAATAGAAACATTGGTCATGTATAGGGTGGTTAATCGACAATCCGTGTTCCTTTGCAATTTTCCTTAAGAATCTTCTTACTCTTGGAAGGTCAGCTGGATGATATAAATCCCAGACTGCTGCTGCTGTTTTATCCCGTTCTTCTTCTAAGCGATTTTCAACGCTCGGAGCATATGCCATCATATTAACTGCATCGGTCATATCAAGATGAAGGTTTGTAGTACCTTTGCCACCTACGTTATCTTCAGAACCATAAGCATTGTACATCTTTGGACCAAGATCAGGACGATTAATCTCTAATGGCAATCTGTGAGCCAGGTTCAAAACTCCACTACGAGTTGTATATTCTTTAAATGGCAAAGAATTATAGAAGTCTTTATAATGTTCTGGGAACGTTTCTGCGAAATCATCTGCTGGAGGCCAGTCCTATTTAGTACCGAATATGTAAAAAAAATTAATTAGGCAAATTCAAAAAAAAAAAAAAATTGTTAAAAACAAAAAAAAATACTTTTAATTTTAGGCATGGACAAATTCCAGCTTTGTTCACGAATCGACTACTGATATCTTCAAAGCCCTTAAAGAATGTTTTAACATCCATTTTATACTCGACATTCTCCTTGACATCGATTACCGTACAATCTTTATCACCATAATGTTCAATGAAATAGTTTGGTCTCCAAATTTTTTCTTCTAATTTATCCGCGCCTCTGATCACGAAAGGATACCCTCTTTTCCAAAGATCTCTGAAGGTATCCTCGGTCATTTCGCTAGCTGCATATTCAATCTTCTTATGTTCATCATGTAATTGGAGAGTACGATTATGACGATCCTGTGATGATGTAGAAAAGCCGTTATCTTGATTTAATACTGACATAGCGGAATCCTCAACATCAAATGATGTTTTTTTAGATGTTCTGGATTGCCGACGTCGAACTACAACTCTTGAACTTTCCGCAGGTTGAGTAACTTCCGAACTTTCTACTGATTGGTTCGCAGTATCATCATCGGGCAATTCTTCTCCGTCTAAATCAGAACTATCCTCGTCGTCAAGGATCATCTGGTTACATTGATCAGAAAGTCGATTAATTTCTTCTTTTGTATAATGATAAATAGGCACCAATTGTTCCTTGTAATGCCGCCTTTTATGAGAACACCTTCCGGCCTCTTTGAACGAATCATCAGAATCATTCCATTCTTCGTAACAAGAAAGACAATATTCCTTTCCGCAAACACAGCACATCCAATATCCACTGAATATTGTTGTTTGACAAGAATCACACAATTGACAGATGTTACGGTCTGGAAATTTGCGGATTTTTGCCATTTCAAGATGTGGAAGTTCCTTTTTAAGAAATTTCATAAACGTTGGTGCGATCAAGTCTATTATAAGAAAGAAAACAGCAAGTTGATTTTTGCCAAATATTAATTAATTGGGACCTGTTTCCGTTTACTTACCAAGAACGCGAACATTTTTGACTTCGTCTTCACTTACACCAATCTCATAAGTTGATTTGGGGTCAGGGCCTTCTGCAGACTTAAATTCTGGGCCATATACTAATTTGCCTTTTCTTTGTCCGAACACCCGTATGTCAATGAACCGACACTTATCCGACTTCTTGGCCAAGCCTAAATTATCATTAAAAAATTAAATAAATGGAAATAATAATTGACTTACAAATACTTACATGCGGTACATCTTTCAGAACTACTTACATGCGGTGCATTTTTCAAAACAACAGTATCTTGCTGAGAAGCAACGCCCTTGTTGGACGTGCTTCTTACCTGGCACCGGTCGGACTTTGATTAAATCAGCATTCTTGACCAATTTCTTCCGAGCTTCATCTTCGTCACTTTCGGGGTCAAACTTTCGCTTGGACCCCGCAGGCTCTGCAACTTTTCTTTTCTTTGACCGCCCAACGGGAACATCAATAGCTTTTCTCTTGTCACCAGTTTCAATAAGCTTTTCGTTTTTTACGATTTTTTTATTCTTTGGTCTTCCAGCCTTCTTTCGTTGTTTCATAGGAGCAGGAGTGTAGAACTCTGTTGTCTTCCTTGTTCGCCGTGGTCTCTTTGAACTTCCAACAGCTGCCATTTCAGCTGTATCGGATTGAGTTTCAGTAGTGGACCCAATTTCTTGATCAGACATGACTGAAATTTAGTGTTAGAAATTGTAATTCAAATAAAATTTTTAATGATTCATGACAATAAATGTTTTAAAATAAAATAACCATTTGGAATAACGGTGCTGTATCCACACAAAATTTTTCCTTTAAAAAAAAAGATTTTTCTCAGACACGTAATAAAATCTTCATTAATTCGTTATATATAAATAGTAAATTTATACTTTGTGATAACAAACGTTTACTGCTCTTTATTTGCAATAAAATTAGGACCAGTATTTACCTGCATAAAAATTTTTGAAATTAGTGATAACAAGAGAAATGATAACTCCTAAAGAAGAGAGCTTGTGTTACGGTAAGATTATATAAAGTGAATCTATATACCGAGAAGATACAGCTACGAAAATGAGCAAAGTATTAATTGATAAAAATTTTTTTGCCGCTTACCTATTTTATTTTGTATCAAAACAACACGTTTCTTAAGATAATAAGGATAAGGGTAATAAGAAAATGATTTTATTTCTATGCGAAAAAAATCACGCCATTTACTTGTCTACTCGTCCGTTCAGTCATTGTGGACAAATTAGTATCAAAAATGAAACATCTTATGCCACGTGGCAAATGTTGGATAATCGATCCGATTTTGCCTAATACTTTTAACTATATACGGTACACGGTTTGTACAATATAAAAACAAGTTTATGTTGCTATTTATTTTACTGATTGTTATTTTTAGTATCTGACAAATATTACAATGATTTGTCAAGTACAAATAAGTCCCATTTTCGCATGTTTGAGTAAGATAATGTCAATGACAAAGTACTAAGGAGCACAAGAAATCCAAAAAACATATGAGATCTCATCTGAAATATTGAGAAGGTGCAACAACCAAGGAAGATATCAAGCATCAGAATGCCAGGTAGTAACAGATTGTTTTCTGTAGTGAATGTGGAGAAGGTATTTGGAAATCAAGAAAGGATAAATGAAAAGAAAAAGATCTGTTACACAAGAGTTAGTTCAGAGAAGATAGGCAATGTAAATACCTCTGGAGTGAGTGCTGGAAGAAGGAAATTTTTTTCAAAACAATCATTTGATTCAAAAAAAATTTTTGTTGATTTGGTCCCTTTTTTCAGCAATTATCCTAAATGTCCAGACTTTGAATTCATCAAATATATTTAGGTCTTAACTGGAAATGCAGGGTTTTACATCCATTTTGGAATAATTGTATTAAAGAGATATTAAGAAGGTTGTTATCTATAAGGATCAGCTCTGCTACTTTAGGTAGATATATAATAAAGTTCTTTAAAATAATGCAGAAATAAAATCACTAAAATAAGTAGTATCATATAAAAGTGCTATTTAAATAATAAATGCTTTACTAAAGAATTTTTATAAGTAAAAAAAACTTTTAGAAAGGTATATTTATATTATAATATTTCAAATTTTGATTTGTATAAGACTTGTATAAACTTACATAATATAAATAATATAGGCTAAACAATTAATAGGATATATCCTATTGTATAAATAGACTTGACTTATTAAGAATATTATTTATATGCAATCTGATAATTAATAAATACATACAAAATTAATTTTGAATAAAGTATTGATTAAAGAAACAGGACCCCGGACATCACATATATAACTCATAACCGATCTGCATGAATTTAGCACTCTTTGCTCCTGCTAAAATAGACCTAATTTGCTAAAAATCAAATTATCACATTTTAAATCTATACTAATTTGCTAAAACTCAAAATATGAGTTATAGTAAAATTTTAAATAATATAGGTTTAAATTTGCTTAATAAAATATAATTTCAGTTTATTAAAATTATTTGTAGATTGGTAAATTTAATTGTTAATTAACAATCTTTTTTTTTATTATCAATAAAAAAAATAAATAATTAATAACAACTGACTTTTTGCCAAAAAAGACCCTTTTTTATTTTCAGTTTTTTGCAATTATCTCGGCATCCAGTGATCTGATTCATGCGGATTTTTTTTATTTTGTAGAACTCGATGAGGGCTACAAAACAAAAAAAAGTTCGCATAAATTGGACCACTGGATGCCGAGATAATTGCGAAAAACATGATTTTTTTTGAAATTTAGGCCAATTTGCTTCTCTGAGTTATATATGTAATGTCTGGGGTCCTATATAAATTAAACTGTCAATTTTTATAATTTATAATTAAAATTATGTAGATTATAGATAAGATAATAATTAATAAAAATAATAAATTAAATATAAATAATTATTAAAAAATAAAATGTTGCGAAACTCATCGGACGGTTTTTGGCCTGCATTATGCTTAATTTTGGCCGGAATTATACTTAATTTTGGCCAAAATATAACCCGGACCCCGAAACTAATATTTTTAAAAATATTATCTATAAAAGTTAAAAAAAAAGGATAAGTTAAATTTAAAAAAAAGTACCAATTTGCTCAAATATAAAATATGACTTTGTAAAATCAACACAATTTGCTAAAACTCATAATTATGACTATTAATTAATTTTCAATCAATTTGCAATTATGAGTTTAACCTAATTTTGATTGAATTTGCTAAAACTCAAATGTGAGTTATATAAGTGATGTCTGGGGAAAACTCAAATGTGAGTTATATAAGTGATGTCTGGGGTCCTAAAGAAACTATCTTAATCCTTAAAAAAGAAATAGAAGTGAATATACATTTCTAAAAAGTATTATTATTTTAAAACAATTACTAGTGATTAATAATATGATTAACATAATTATAAATTACTTGAGATATTATTTTTACTTATATATTTCCATTTTTTTAGACATTATTATTAACTAAAATGATGTTTGTAAAAAGTAATTTTACTAGATTAAGTATTCATATATTTATAACAGATTATGATTCTAATAGTCAATTAATTAAATGAAGTAATAGTAATATTGACAAAATATTCAAATTGCTCAAGAAATATAATAAATTACAGAGCAATAAAAATCTTGCTTTAAAAAAAATAAACAAAAGAAAGATTGAAAAAATGCTATAAATCTAGGGATGTTAACAGTTTATGATTGGATGGTTCAAACCGCAGTTTGATCATAGGACCAGTTTCGGTTCAGTTCAAACGTCAAACCAAACTGAGACCGAACCGATAGAAACCGGTTTAGTGAACCGGTTTTAGATCGGTTCAATTAACGGTTACGTGTATCTGCATGCGTAACTTTTTACAATAAAAGAATAACGGATTTTACATTCTTACATTTTTTTATATCACCTTGCATTATTACAACTATGTCGGGAGTTTTTGAAAATGACGATAATAATTTATCAGATGATTCCTTAGCATCTGATGATGAAAGAATTATAAATAAGAAATTGTCAGCAGATGTTTGGGAGTTTTTTCAAAAAATTCAAGATGAGGAAAGTTGGTTAATTACAAACTATAAGTGTATTTTGTGTGCAAAACTTTATTCACCTGGTAATCCAACATCTACACTTCGACGTCATTTAACTAAAAAACATCCATCACATTATAAAAAACCTGAAACCCGCCAAACTACTTTACGTTTTAAACCTTACTCTCCATCAAAATCTAAACCTATCAC